TGAGGGTGGGCGGGGGGGCAGGACAGGACGAGACAGAACAAAACAGGCACAGAGAGACAGAGAGAAAAAGAAACCAGGTGTAAGTTTAATTTGCCGTGCATGGCATGCAGTGAGGAACATCAGTCTCAGCTGCCTTGTGCTCGACAGGCCACGGTCAGGTCACGGTGCCCTCTCTGGAGTCATGCAAGAGATTCTGACTTCAAACAAGGGTGGGCATTCACAGCCTGTGGATGGGCGCCAACACTGTGGCTGACATTTTATATTTGCATCCTTCTGAGCAGAACATGCTAAAGCCAAAACTTTTATGGTTTAATTCGAGCTTTGGAAATACTGGACATGCAGAGGCTTGATCCATAGATGTTAATGATGCCTCTTTTAGACCGGTCAAAAAAGCTTTAGATCAAACTGTTTTTGAAGACTTTCAATGTTTTTATTGGCATTTCGCCCAGGCCCAGAGACTATGCATACAGGCTGCAGCTCCAGTGATCGTACAGTAAGTGTGATGGAAAGACCTCGGTAAACTCATTCTCAGACTATTATATACCTTGTCTGAAGTAATAGTTTAGGTGATCGGATTCGGAAGAAATAATACATGTTGTCTACAAAACTCACAGTTTCCTTGTTGATTTTTTTCGTCTTGTGGTAAACTCTACCCAAAATATGTTTTTGTATAATTTATGCCAGTCACACACGTTACTCAGTGATGGTGAGCAGAGAGAAAGACTTAGATTACTTACGTTTCACCGATGCGTCTGTAGTTGTTTGGACACTCGAAAGACAGACATCTGAAACCTCCCTGTATATTAAAGCAGCTCTGATTCTCTGTGCAGGTGTGTGTTCCTGTCACACACTCATCAATATCTGAGGGTGAAAATATAATACAATGAAAATGAAAATGAAAATCGCCCGCATCTGAATTAGCAAGTTGTTAGCACGTAGCTACTACTACCGTACCCTGACATGTTCGTCCATTGACAGCTAAAGTATAACCAGTGACAGGGCAGGAACAGTGGAAGCTTCCGGGTGTGTTAAGACAGCGGTAGGAGCAAATATGTCCTCCAGTTGGAAGAGCACACTCATCTATGTCTGAAAAATTCAGAGAAAATATATACATTATTAATATAATATGTATATATTAATATATAAAGTCATGGAGAAACCTGTTTATCTATGTGTACCAAATACATACTCCATCTATAGATGGCTATGAAAATTAAAAACAGAGGCTCGGAGCTGAAGAAGATCTTCATGTCTTTCTTCAATTACCACAAGTATGGTATCAGTGTTGTATTCATTCAAAGAGGTTTTATACAGTACATTGAAACAGGTGGACATTATGTGAAATTTGCTTGCATTTGAATCAATATTTCAATTTAAAAGGATTAGCCAGTAATAGCAAGAAGACAAAACATCTCTTACCTTCACATGTCATGCCATCGTTGTCGCTGAGCTGGTAGCCACGTCGGCAGTAACACTGGTAGGACCCGAACACATTGGCACACTCCTGACTGCAGGGGTTGCTCTCACATTCATTCACATCTAAAGTGAAAAAAAATGACACAAATATCCATCCATGACCCCATGCACATTTTGTAAAGAAAGAGGATTTTTTATTTTTGAATAGCAACCTACTGCACTAGCTAAAATTCCCATGTTTTAAGACCACATTTAGCATGGCTGTCTGGCTAAGTAACAAAATTACTTAGCAAAAGTTTAACTATTACTTACTATTTTTTTGCTGTATTTATTCTAAAATGAAAATAGCATTAATTTAATGAACCTGACATCAAGTGCAATTATATCACCATTAGCTGACAAAGGAGAAATTATGTGTCAAGACCAAATTACATTTTCCTCACATTTCCCCCCTGCCTCAGGAGCAAGCTGGGATTCGGTGTCTTACATAATGACATACTAAAAATGTTCCACAGCCCAGAATAACACCAGCCTGTCTGACCTACACTTTCAACTGCAACACCCTCATTTACTGAACTGCACCTGGTAAACACTGCAATGGTTATCGTGTGTTAATGTAGTGTTATTCTGAAGTATTCTTTTGACAAAATAATAAACCTACAGCAGAAAGATGTTCCTGGAGCCAATGACTGAGGCAGAAGAAAGGTACACTTGTGATATTTAGATCATTTACCGTCACAGCTCCTGCCATTACTGGCGAGCTTGAAGCCCATCGAGCAGCTGCACTTGTAGGATCCTGGAGTGTTTTCACACTTGTGAGCACACAGGCGACCAGGGTAGTGTCGGCATTCATTTATGTCTATAACACATAGTGGATATTATGTCACAGGTCGACAACAACGCGAGATTTGGATTAAGGGTATCAAACTGCTGGCATGCGGGTCACTTCTGGCTCATGAACCTCACACATCTGGCCTACACTACATGTCAGTAATAAAAGTGAGATTTAGAAGTGTATGTGATTTACCTCTGTGTTATTTTCATAAAGTATTGTTGGCGGCTGTGCTCATTTCTCACCTTCACAAACGCGACTGATGCTGTTGAAGTTGTAGCCCGCCTGACACTCACAGCGGTAGGAGCCAACCAGGTTGATACAACTGTGACCCGGACACACCTGCTCAGGTCCCTTACACTCGTCAATATCTGTGGACCAGATGTAATAGTAAGGAAATGAAATTTGCTCACTGAGGAGCAGCATGTTCTGTATGAAGCTATGTGCTTCAGTCTCACCAACGCAGCGCGTGCCCTCCTCATTGAGGTGGTATCCTCGACCACAGTTGACAGAGTTTCTCTGACAGGTGTAAGATCCAACTGTGTTGATACAGACCTGCCCTCTGTGGCATGGACCAGTCTGGCTCACGCATTCATTGATGTCTGAGGACACGGACGGTGAAGTTTGTGATGTTTATGTTCAAAGTTTTCTGTTTCTACAGTAAATAAAGATGTGTTTTAAAAAATACAAATTTGTTACATTGTAAATATTGACATAGAAATATTACCGATACAGTTGCCCAGGGCATCCTGAATAAACCCACTACCACAATTGACTGTGGGAACACAACGAAATGACCCTTGGGTGTTTTGGCACTTGAACTGCGGGCCACAGTTATGGATGCCGGTCTCACATTCATCAATGTCTGGAAGGAGATATTGTGAAAAATCATTTGTAATTCCAAAATGGAATCTCCCATGAATCATCATAATTATTTTAAATAAGACATCTCATGTTCTGTATAAAACAAATTTCCAGAACAGACCTTTGCAGTTGTTGTTGTCAGTGAGCTCGTAGCCAGTTCCACAACTGACCTCCCTCTGACAGCGGAACGAGCCATCAGTGTTAATGCATCGCTCCCCTGCTCGACAGTTACTCATTCCCAACAGACACTCGTTGATATCTGAGTTCAGAACAGGACAGGGTTGGAGTTCAAGTGTAATGACTCCAACTTTAAAAAACTTGTTTTAGTCTCTCAGTCTCACCATCACATGTCTTTCCATCTGCTCTGAGTTTGTAGCCTTTAAAACACTCACAGGTGTCATTACCCACACAGAGATGAACGCATCTGCCTGAAAGAGCAAGAAAACCACTGTTAGGCTTAAAATAAATCTTAAAATATATTTAATATTGGATTGTTCTAGTTAATATTTTTTGGAGTATTTATACAATACCACTGCACTGGTCACTAAGAACTGAATTATCTCCATTATCTGTAGATTGATCTTTGTTTTGAACTGTGTGAGAGAAAAACAAAGGGGTCACATGACACTGTAATACCTGATGTAGTAACCATTATGATAGTATTACGAAAATAGATTTAAGTATGTTACAAAACTGAGTTCACTACACATTATATATTTTCAATATTTAGAAGTGTTAACTAACTTTTCCACAAGAGGGCAGCATAAGAGTTTCTCTATTTTTTTCTCTTACATCCTTAAGAAAATATCACTGTGCCAAATATGACTGTGCCTGTTTTTGAGGGTTTTTTTTTTGTTGTTGTTGTTAAAAATGTATACATAAACATATTAATTCTACTGCAGTTTTGTTTGAGTTTCACCCACTCTCAGTCTGCCCTGACGATATTGTCTGGTTATCTGGTACTTCATCTACACAGCAGGCACGGGAAACTAAACCACACTGGTAGCCAACAGACAGGTTGTGATCGCAGGAGAGACCGAGCTCCTGTAAAGCCTTCCCCAGGAGACAACAGTCACAGCACATCTGCAGCAAATGGAAAACAAAGCACTCTATTAGAATGTTTTAAAAAATCACCACCCTATGTTTTCTTCACATGATTTGACACTGCTTTATACCAAAGGTCCTTCTGGGTTAAATTATCATTCATCATCTATCATTTTTGATAGTTGTTTTCAATGTTAGGAACATGACTGGATGCCAGTGTGTAACCCTCAGGGTTAAAGATTAATGGATACTAGTTCTCTTTTCTTGTAATGTACATAATGTGTAATAACACTGTAAAGTCACAGAGTCCTGTGATGTTGTAAATGTAGTGTCGTTAACACCCGAGGAAAATGACTTGACGAGCTTCAACTCTATTACATGTGTAAAAACAATATTTCTTCTCTGTTGCTTCTGTGACCTTATCTTGACACATTAATGAGCCTCCACCTCCACATCACAGATCCAGTGACACTATATTATCTCAACCCCATCAAGAAAAAGCACAGACTTGCATCATAGCCCTCTGGATTTTGTCAGGCAGTTATTTCAGTGATGTGCTGATTTGAGGCGTGCTGTATAAATAAAGAGGAGCGTGAAGAGCATTTGGCTGGGGAAGAATAAAAGCACAAAAGAGTTTAAAAATGTTTTGTTAGCCTCGGGAAGAGTGGAGACTCAGAATTTATAATCTGCCTGTCAGCAACAAACTCCCATTCTCGACAGGGTGACGTGCCTCGTCCTGCTTACACACAGATACACAGATACACACACAAAAAAATCACACTATCCCTTTAATCCTGTGGTTACCAAACATTTTATGCAGTGCCCCCTTTTGGTGGATAGGGTAATTGGTAAGTCTGCCACATTGATATGTTGGACCTTATTTGGAACCCCTTAATTTGAGATATCTAACATATCTCAGTGCCCCGCCCCCAATTTTGGGAACCACTGCTTCGATCAACAATCTGCACAGTAAAGCAGTTACAAATTGAGTATCTGTACTATTACTATCCACATATTACATTTAATTTTGCTATTTATAAAGGAAAAATAACCTCCTGGTAAATTGAAAGGCTCTGATGGCACTAAATAGTTATTACTGCAGTCTAACACTACCAAGTTCCTTAAAGGTTATTCCTCATAGTTTTGACCAATTTTCTAATCTGTCAATAATGTGAATAATGTAACAATTCTATAGTTAAAGGTGTAATGAGGTAACAACAAACTTTTATTGTCTTGGTCTCGCAGGTGTTGGCAAACAAAGGATCACAAGCTCCTTGGTCTTTGGCCAAATTGATCCCATTGGTGCACATGTTGTCTTCAAGCACGGTTACACAGCACTGCTCCTGCACCACCCTGTCAACAAGACAAAAAAAATGTAGGATGACAGTGGAGATATTAAACAAAGTATGTTAGAGATGGAGGTGCCGAGCAGGACCTCAGAGGCTGTGAAGGCTGCATCTGAATCTCTTTAATCTAGAATTTATCCACCTACCTGCTCGAATGTGATGTCACTGACTACATTTATGGGAGGGACAGAGCCTTGGGGTCCAGACACACAAATAAAATTAAATATGTTTTTGTCATGTAAATAGCATCATGAATTGGAGGATTATTGATTGTAATTTAAGTCGTAGCTGTTGTTTTTTTTAGCTGCTTTAATTGGGGAACACACAGTTTCCTTTTTGATCTTCACAACTTTGGAATCTAGGCACAGGTGGGATTGGTTTGGCTGAATCCTGCAGGCTGCCAGTTTATAATCACTACTATAATGTGTCATCCATCCCAAAGTTACGGTAAAATCTGCAGTGGAGACCTCAGTGACTTCTCACAGCGAAAAAATCTTTGCGTGGATGAGTGGGCTCAGTGCGTCCTATGGGTCTGGGTCAGTAAAGTTTACTTTTGTTGTGCAATCCTAACATCAGAGGATATAAACACGGCCATTCTGCCTTCATGGGGCCTCGATTCTGTTGTTTTAGACCCAAGTGAGACGGGTATTTGTCTTCCAAGATTAACACTGTCCACCCCCATGTCTGTCTCTGACGACAAGACTCGATTTAATGTTTCTAAAACAGAAGAAACCGGCAGTAACAGGTCACATATGGGATGTGAGTCGTTTCTAAACAGACCTCGACATATGAGCTCAGTGCAAAGACCACAGTTTAGACAGTACATGTACTGTCGAACAATAGTTCATAAATATTTACATTACTAAGTAATTACTATTTCCTGCTTGTTAGCTCAGTGGTACCACTTATGATGGAGTTACTTCTCAATTTGTCTTAAGGCAATTTTTACATGACAATTTTTACAACACAGAACACCCCCACACCTACTCTCCTATTTCCAAACAAGGCTCTACATCAACTCTTACCAGAATTCTCTTCCCACATAAACCACTGTGGTTCTAGAATTATTTTATCAACACACACCTTCTCTACAGGACCTTTTATGGGCACAGTCCGGCTCTTGTTTTTGTGTTTTTTTTCTCTCCACTCTCTTTCTTTTTCTCTGGGTTTTTTTCCATTTAATGTCTGAAGTAGTTCCTAAAAATTCTTGTTTTTCTATTTCACCATCTTTGTTGTTTTTCACCTCTAAGGTATTTCCTGGATTTCGTAACAGCCCCTCTTTCGTCTCCCCCATTCACCCCTACCTTCCTAAAAAACACCGTGCTCCCAGAAAAAATATCTGCCCCTTTCCTTTCTTACCCTCAGACTATAATTTAGACAAATTTGGGATCATTGACAGAGGCTCTGGCAAATGTGTTAGCCATCAGCATCCAAGACGGCAGCGGATCTCTCCGGCTTATGAGGCCTGAACCTGTGGCAGCACAACATCTCAGGTTACCAGCCGAGCTGTTATTATCCCATCACCATGACTGTTTCTCACTCTCACGTGAAGTGAATAATGTTCCTGGAAATTCACACGAGTACAAGGTAAAACAATCTTATATTAGGACCTTTTTAGATTTGAAAGGTCCTTTAAATGTGGTACAGACCAAATCCCTCCAGGGCAATAGTGTGAAAACGTCTGTGGTGTAAATAAAGAATAACAGAATTAACCAGTTCTTCTTTCTGGCTGGTTTTCAAACAGCTCTCTTGGTCGTCCTTTAATGTCTGGATTTGTAATAACACAGAGAGCATTAGTTCAAAGCACCTGTTTACCTGCATGTGGTAGACTCGGAGATGAGAGGGAGGGAGGAGCAGTCTTCATTTGCGTTGCCTCTCTTCTGTCCATCCTGACAGCAGTCGTCTATGGAAATCTGCTCTACTCCTACAGACATGAGAAACAATCAAACATATCATTTCATCTGACCATTTATATATATGATATTAGTCAAGTAGTATTGGAGATAAAGTGTAGACTTCATGTTAAAAGAAGTGGAGTTTTTGACAATTACCTGGTAGTATCAGTAAAAATAAAAGGAGTCTGTCGTCTCGTCAAGTGTCAAGACAAGTGTTATCCAAATCTTTTCAAGCACAGTTTAGATTAGGGGTTGACCAATACGTAGAAGAATACGTAGAAGTTCATGTTACATGCAGACACCTATAAACACAAAATGTGTCCTCTGCATTTAACCCATCTTTGGGGATGGGAAAATTGGTGGTTGCTCAAACCCCCACTGACAGTTGGCTCTACATTTCCTAGTGACTCCTAGTGAAGATAGATGGACGGATGGATGGATGGATGGAATTTTTGTTAAAGCCAAAATAAAATCTGCTTTTGACATGATGACACAATTCTCCGAGCTTCCCCAAAGAGAGCCCTGTAAGGTGACACAAATCAAAATCCCGATAAAGCTGACAGTAAATCATTTTTTTAGGCTGCTGCCAAAGATGTTGAATGATGAATGTGTTGTCATCAAAACAAAAGCGTGATCTGGCTTTTTATTTTTGTGCATTAGGAATGGAATTCTTCTACTGCAGGCATGGGATTCCTTTACTCTGTAAACAATCAGCTATAACAATAAAATCAAGCAAACTCATTTGACTGTGGTTTTCTGCAAACTGCCAGACACTGAATCGCTTGAACAGATCAGACACTGAGGCTTTCTGCCTTTGAAACAAGCCAGAATTGGTGCGTAGAACAGTTTTTAATAACGAGTCCCTATGAGGGAAAACGGAAAAACAAATGCACTGTGAAATAAATTTTCTTATTCCAAAGTTTCAAAAAAAGAAAAAGGAGAGAGATGTTGATGGTTAGGGACGTAATGTTTTGAAGTAGTACGAACAGTGATTGTGAAACGCACTGCACAGATCCATGTGTTTGGGGCGCAGCCTCTGCCACGACATGTCTGAGCCAAAACTTCACAAAGTTAGGAGGACTAGATAGGGAGGACAAGTGTCTGGAACAACTGACTTGTCCCGAAAGGACCACAGGTATTTCATTTCTACCATTAAATCAAATGTGAGTCCAAGGCAGAAGCAGTCAGCAGCACTAAAGGCTTTCTGCACTGATTTCATAACTGAAAAATTAAAACACTGTAGTAAAACTCAGCTTCGCGGAGGAGGCTGCAGGTTCCTATAAATCTAACTCTATAGCCTCTAATAAAATGTAGCTGAGACGAAAAATGAGTCAAAGTGCTGAAAAACAAAGAAGATTGAGTATCAGTACTACAAAAAGAATGATTAACCTGGCAAAAAGGAGTGAATATGGGCAGAGGATTTATTACCAGGCGGCCACATTAGCTGACTCACTTCTGACTTCTGGAAGTCTGGCACTACCCCGAATTCCCTGGCCAATAAACCTCGTAGCAGCTGGATGAAACGAGATGGCATTTTAAACACTTTTCACATGGGCCTACCAAGAAGTCTCTCTCTGAGACTTTGTGTCTGGGAATGATAAAGACCTCTATCTGCAACAAAACACTGGAGTAATCCACGGAGATGGCAATAAAATGTTTTGCTTGCAGAGGGCAACTTTTTTTTTATTATTTATGTGCACTGCTCATTAAATTGTGTTAATTGCCAAATACTGTGTACTGAGTGGGAAAAGAATAACTTCTCCTAATCTGCAAGTGTGGAATAACCAAGACTTTTGATTGCCAAATCCTCTCATTTGTATTTAGACTAGAAAGGCATCAAAGAATCTCTTTCCAAATTCCTCCAAAAAAAAACTCATTCCCAAATGGTTTTCTGCAGAAGAGCAGGGAATATATTTTGAATGACAGGGAAAGTTTGTCACTTACTATAACTTCTCCCAGTAATGTATTCTGGGGCCTTCCCCATTCAGCGTCTCTGCTGATAACTCATTCTAAACCACTAAGCATCACAGAGTCGTTCCAACAAAGCCACTGTCTGCTTCTCGGCAAACCTAAATCCATAGAGCAGAAGGGCTTCAGAATTTTGTGGTGCTGTTTTTATCAAAGGAGTCAAACCAGACGCAGCCACTATCCAGTCTGGACGCATAGCTTTGTCTGCTGATGTAGTCGGTAAATGGCCCAGGTCCATTGTGGATGGCGATGCTGGTTGCAGTAACCGTTGTGTTTTGGCAGAGCCACATATGGCTCGCCTGCATCTCTACGACTCATGTAAACAGGGCTTAATGAGCGCAGAGTTGTCACAGCAATGGGCACCCCTTTTATGGGATGTCTGGTAATTAAATTACATATATACTGTATATATATATATATATATATATATGTCATATATATATATATATATATGTGTGTGTACATACATACATATATACATTTTTAAACCACTTATTCAAAATATTTATTGTCTATTTTACCTCCGACTGACCTTTAAATAACCCCCCAGTGAAGCTTAGAAAAAAGTGGCCCTGCTGACTGTGAAAATTGCCCCATGTGTGACTTAGGGACCAGTGCTGGGAAAAGGTTCATCCTTCTCTTTGGTGACCCCGCTGTGGCACTCAGGTATAAATCACAGCCGTCTGTCTAGACCACGTCCTGGTGAGAGGGTGGTCATTCTACTGGAGCATCACAGCATGCTGAGAACCTTTGACCTGCAGGGCAGCATGTACAGAAACTACTAGAACTACTGCAGTGGTACTTCCTAACATACAACTGAGGTGATACTACATTTTAACACTTTATTTGATCCTGTTACTTCTTAAGGCAGTTTGAGACGTGACCTGAAAGCCAGCTCCTCCTCCCACGATTTAAGATAATAATGGATGTAAAAGATGTGCTACCATTCCCTATTATTTGCTTAAATAGCTAAATAATAACAGTTGTTAAACTGGCTCCTAAATACCTACAAGTTAATAAAAAAAATCAGGTAAGGTAAACAGTAACCAAAATACCAAAAAAGAGTAGCTAAAGCTGTCAAGAAAGCAAGTTGAGAAAAAAATGTCAGCAGAATAGTAATTTGTCAAATGTAAACTCCAGAATAAAGAGCTTCATAAATTGTATACAAATAACTTTTTATATATAAAATACATGTAACTGAATTCCAGGAAACCACGGACCAAATGAAGCCAACCCATGTACAACAACTGGCCCTTGGTCTGCACTTTGGATATACCTGGTATAGTGTCATTAAATGCAACTATGAAAACATATAATTCATGTTTACATACCTCGCAATAATAATCAGTTTTATTTTTTTTAACATAACGTGGAGTGCATTGAAAAGTTATGACACTTAGACCAAAACTTTTGTGAGTTTTGAGGAAAAACAACAGAAAGCAGTCATTGTGTTTGAATCATGAAATTACAGCAAATACGCGTTCGTTTCAGTCCAGACCTGCCAACACTTTGAAGCTCCTCACTTTCAAGTGCGCTTCAATCACATGCCCCAACTAGTCCAATGATAAATTCATCACCTCCCCTTGTCTCACCCATTGTGTCTTATCACTGTGGCTCTTACTGTAAATACTCAGACAAATTCAAGTAAATAAAAAAAATACATGACGTCACCGCATCTGCACCACATCGTTATTGCACAAACCGTATTGTTTCGGTCACCGCAAAAGTTTTAAGGTAGTAGTTTAATGCAGTTTCCTTCATTAAGGTAACTTACCTTGGGCAAGGAGAACTCCGAACATGGAGCAGAGCAGCACAAAACGAGGACCCATGGTGTAAAGAGCAGGAAAAGTAAATAGTGCAGATTCAAAGTTCGTGTCCGAAGCTTTTTATTCTGGATCTTGACGGTCTTGTTTTATCTGCGGGGTGTCTGCGCTAAAAACACAGAGACTGCGTGCGTGTGTGAGCCGGGAGGTGGATGTGACTGAGTCCTGCGTCTTAGTCGCAGTGTGACTGGAGGAGAGAGCGTCCAATTATGGCACGATGAGGGGCGGGCTGGGCCCACAGACGGAGGACCTGTAGTCCTTATCATTACTCATTTCATTCTCCTGTAACTACTCCACACACTCCTAATGCCCGGTAAGAAAACGCATCATTTTTTAATTTAAAAAAAATCTTTAAGAATACATAAATATATTTTCCTTCAGCTTCTCTGAAGCACACAGTTGAGCAAATGGTGGGTCGAGACACCAAATAGTGTCACAGAAAACTAGAAATTGGGACCACTTCTCCCACATTGTAAGTAAACCAGCAACTGTCTAATTTGAATTTTTTGGAAGCTAAAAATGAAGCTAAATGCAGAAATCTTTAATAGAAAGTAAAGAGCAGAGTTGTTTCCACCAAGAAAAATAATAACTGTCGGCTCACCCCTTCATCAATGTTCTCACTGTTGTAATCCGTAATGTAATTTGGCACAGTTTTTAATGCTTTTAACTTAAGTTGGTCTTTGGCAGGTACAAATCCACTATGGCGATAGTCACTGTGAAATTTAAAGAAATTTACAAACATCTGCAGCATGGTAACAAAACGTTAGCACAGAGTCACATTTAATACATTATGTCATCTTTGAATTACAAGAAACATTCCATAGGGAGACAGATCTGGACTGCAGGCAGGCCAGTCAAGCACATTCACCTAATGAGTCGTTATGCCTGGTATGGTCCTGCTTATGGTATGTGGTCGATGCATTGTCCACTGGCAGCGTTGGATGTAGCTCATCATAAGTCACGTATGAAAGTATAATGTATCTCTGGACTCATAATTAACAGAATTATATCTGTAAATTCACAGGGCAAATCGTTGGCCCCCTTTGTTACCTGTAACTTTACTATGACTTTACTTTGTTAGTTAGACTTGAGATTAGATTAACATAAAGTAATGCATCAGGCAATAGATTTATGTGAACGATAATGACTGAACGTTATGAAACCTGTCTGAGCTGAAATCAGTGTTGTTGCAAGTGCTTTAAGGCTACTGTGTCCCAAAGTAAATAGATTTTCTTCCTCTTTTTCTGTGTGACTAATAACTGAACTGATTACTCGACATCTGGAGCTAGTTTTCAGGTATTTTAAAAATCTGTTGTGGCTATGTGGGGACTGTAAGCCCTAAAAACATTGGTATATCTGAAAAATAAACTTTCATTACTGTGTCAGCAAATAACTATGGTTCTCCACTGCTAGGTCTGGGTTTGTTGCACTGTAAAGATAATTAAATTGCCTCTGGGCAGTTCCGTCGACCCTTGTGTGTTATTTCCCACTGGTATCCGCGCAGCAGTGGACTTCTTACTGCTCCCTTTGGCTTTCCTGTTAAGCTTATTAAATGAATTTTATCCATTTTTCTTCCCCTCAAACAATACATAAAAGCAGAAATTAGTAGTAAGTAGCAGGTATATGAAAGCTCAACGCAAAACCTTGTCCAAAATTGGCAAGACGTTGACATATAATTGCTAGACTGTATTTTAAACATTTCATACCAACTATTTGCCCTCTGCAAATTCAATCAGTCTTCCAACTCTGGGCATGGTGACAGAGAGAGAGGTTAAATGATCGCCTAATCAGACCCATATGTCTCCACCACTAGTCTAGCCAGTCGAGAAACATCACCGAGGACTTGATGTTGGGACACCACAGGCATACAGGGGAACACCACAAGTCTATAGCAGTTATTAATGTGTTACTGCGCCGTCGAAGTCTGGTGGATCTGTTAAAGTGTGGTCAGCTGTGTCTACATGCTCTTCACTGCACCACATCCTTTTGTGTAACAGACACCTGGAAACACAAAGAGAATAATTGAAACAACAACACCAGTGCTTTAAGATGGTGTTGGACGTTTGGTGTGGTTTTGGAACTACTTTGAATTGAACCATTTCTTTTACAAAACCGATACATGGTATTTTTATGTGTGTACTCACCAATATTGAGTACTGTCACCAATACTATTTTAGGAAGAGTTTCAATAAATATGCAATGAAATGTAAGTATGTAGGTGGCAAGGAAGCAGGAAAATGTTGCAGCTAGTTTTATTGTCTTCTCATGAACAGAAGGCTATTTCATTCCAAGAAAACAAATATTACTGTATTAAAGTCTTAGGACAACACATTGATAAAACTATGTGTAAAAAAACTATTTTCTTAAAAAACACAATAAATGAAACTTAGCCTCTGCATAGTTATTAGCTTGCTGAACGCTAACTGAGCAGGGCTGTGACACAAACACAAAGCACATATAGAAAACGCATTTAGCACATCTCAAGGTGTTTTATTACATTTCTTGTGTCATAACTGAACACATCGTAGAGTAAGTCCTGATTCTGTCCTCATCCCCAAAGTTCAAATACTTCCAAACTGCTGCCATTGTTGACCTACTTAAATAAAACACCATAAGGGCAATGACACACTGAACTGCAGTAGGAAAACAAAAACTCTCTCTGACTGGTCGGTCACCACATTTCTGAACAGTACATATCAGGGCACGAGTGAAGTACCTGGGCCGATATGATACTGTTATCAGGATCTGTTTATACCATATACAATAATTTGTCTTCATTATTGTTGCAATTAAGAATATGACTTCTGCAAAAAATATTTGTATTTGTATATTAGTAGGATGTAAAAATTTAAACAGTATCCCATAATGATGGAAAAATAATTAAACAAGGATGTGACTGGGGTCATCCATCAGTCAACATGTCTGGTTCTTTGTCACATTACAGCCACAGTGTAATGCAGTGGTTTGTGGTTGTATTGCCACATTGGAAAACAAAAACCAAGAGACTGGATATTTATTGCAACCTATTACATAACCTGAACATTTTCAGCAGTTATTACCAATACATATAATATATAATATAATATACTGTTTATCTTATCTGTTCCACCACCCGTCGAGTTCTTAGAAGCTGCCATGTCTTAACTGTTTCCCCCTCTTTCTCTCTCTTTGATTCTAATCAACATTTAGGCTTTAACAAGGAACAGCAGCCAGAGCCGGCCTCTTAGCTTTTAGGTGTGAGAATCTGGGCTCACCAAGGTCACATTAAAAACATGGCTAATCTTGGAGCGGGGGTGGGGAGGACGACGAGTGTGCAGTTCATTTGCTTTGAAGCTCAACAAAGCCTGTCTTGCCACATCTGTGTCAATCAGCAGAGAGTCACCAACACAGACAGGCAGACTGCGGGCTCCTGAAGCCTTATCTCTGACAAACCCAAACACAGACACATGGTACAGTGTTAATAAAACAGTCGCAAAGTGTTTGGTACGTCATTATGAGCTGTTTTAAAAAGTTGGTTATTTATAAAATTCTTCTTACAAAAAACATAACATGGGGACTGAAATTTACAGATTAAAGTTGACTTGCAGAAGTGGTTGCCAAAGTAGGGGACAGACCCCCTTAGGGGGGCGTAGAGTTATTGCGAGGGATGGCACAGCAAGGAAAATAAATTTCAATATTTTCTCTTTGTCGCCGTAATTTTATTTTCTTTACGCCTTGAAAAAAAACGTTTTGTAGGATCTTTTAATAAACAAATTAGTTTTAACTATTAGTGTCAAAAAATATATGGAGTTTCATGTCAACATGTCAACAGAATTTCCTCTATGATGACAATATACTTGTGTAGGAGTTGACTGTGCAGGTTGTTACATATTTTATTCCACATCATCAATCAACAACAAGTGTCAAGCCTCATCATCATTATCATCCTCATCATCATCCTTACACCCAGTCATTACTATTCAAAATCACATCTAAAGTTAGAACGAACATGAGAGTTTAATGAATGAAACTTTAATTGTAGCCTTTACTTAGGGACTACTTTGTGCATTCTGTGCTGCAGTACTTCCAGCTTTAAATTCCTGTTATATTTGGTCTGTGCTAGTCTGATACAACTTGAATCCATCTTCTGTAACAGTGTAAAACAGTTATTCTTGGTGGCCTGTACCCTGATTCTTGTATGAAAATGAATTCCCTACAACCTGAATGACCTGCACTCATGTCATAAATGTCTGTAATAAATGATTTACAGACCACATAAAGGCTCCTGCCCTGAGTTTTTCCAAACACTGCTTCTAAATCCTCAAAAACACCTTCTTTTTTTCCTTTTAAAACACTGTATCCTCTCCATTGCAGGAACATGTGCCCTGGGGCTTCGTAGTCTGGAAAAATTCATCAAGAAAAGACATTTAATAGTCTGGGGCAGGCAGTCGGTGTCATCTTCAGTTAAACATCTGGGAGCATTTGGTCAGAAGAGGATCTTCAGGTGCTGCTCAGACAACGTCATCAGCCTAATGTCGGCCATCGTGACCTCACTGACTGACTGCAACATCAAATAAGAAAAATTTCTTAGCATATATCAGGTTTTATTTGACAATAGACTGAGTTAAAGAGTCTTGGTACCTTGCTGAGAGATCCACGATTCTCAAAGATGAGCCTGCTCCTTGAAACAAACTCTTGGACTCCGTTCAGCCTCCAGCTGAAAGATTAATCGGCCCACTGTTACTAACACGTACATACAGTATTTGGAAAGGGAGGGATGGTAACAGATTAAACCTTCATGGGGACATTAAACCTGATTAATATTACATGTGGGTCAAATAGATTGGGTATGATGTTCATTTTTATAGCATAGAAATGACAAATATTCCATATTTACCCAAACTAATCTATGAACATGCAGTTCATTATTAAGGATTCCTGCACTGTAATTATAAATATATATACATATGTGCATAAAACATGTTTCCTACTCACATAGAGGAATGCAGGCTCTTCATTGTCTGTTGTACAGTATGTATGTTTGTCTTCATTAGCCTTTCACCACTTCCTGTCTTGTTCCAAGAACTGTTCACACCTTCATCTCTGATTGTTGTTTACCTTTTCTGTCAGAAAGGCTGGTCCGTTACTACATTCATATCTGAGAACAACAGACAAACGCACAGGTTCAGGCTGGTGAAACCAATATTTTTTAAAATGTGTTACAGTCTGGTGACTGTAGTTTACTGACTCCAGTTTGTGACTTCACACTCGTACATTTCTATTCTTCTTCTTAAAGGACAGTTTATCTTTAGCCAAATGTAAATTTGAACCTTTTTGATTTATCAGATTAGTGTCAAATCTATTACCATTCAATATAATCTGAAGACTAATCACTTGTTTTACATGTTTGTCCAGTCTCATAGACTTGATGAAAATGAACCTTTCTCATCGCAGGCATGATTTCTACAGCCACACCTCTCTATCCTACTTTCTAATCAAATTGAACCAAATTTTATCTAATCTAATCCAATCTAATATGATATAATTGAATAAAGTCTTAATACTAAAGGTGTTACAGATATTTATTTTTTAAACAATAGCTGTTCAGATAGTAAACTCTACATGCTCTACTGTACAGCTCTTCATGACTGCAGTTTATAAAAAATAAAATCCAAGCTCTGGACATAGCTAACAGTAAATCACATCATGTCCTGTACAGTATGAAAAACGAATGAAATGAATTGTTTTCATACACAGTAACTCCCATTTTCTGGCTCATCTTTGATGACTGTGGCAGGTCCAGGAGACGACTTTTGTCTTTTCTTGTCCGATGATCTCACTGCTTCATTTGCCAGTAGTGTCTGAAGAGGATCCCAGAAAACCCTTAAAGAGATACCAAATGAAGAGTCAGTTAAGAGATGAACATAAACACAGGGATGTGAGTGTGTGTGTGTGTGTGTTTCCTTACTGTGACTGTCCCCTAAAAGATGTATCAATGGATCCTAGTGTACTATGCTGTCCTTGTACTTTAAAACAAAACATTATTTTTAATTATTAATATTTAATAACATGTTTTTTACAGTAACACATATATACCGTGAACATACCATTTCTTTTTGTTGGAGATGGTAGGCTGTAGGAGTGGTTCGGGTTCAGCATGTTTAATAAGTCATCTGATTCCTTCCTCTTGTTTTGACACACATACTCAACCTAAAAGAAATGCATTTCCAGTGAATTTCACATCTTAAAAATTACATTAAATGCAACAATGCCATTTATAACATTTAAAGAGGATTTCACTTACTTTATGAGCTGACTGAGACAAGTTTGTGTAACTATTGAAGGACGATGTTGAAGAATGAGTGTAAAAAGGCGAGGAAGAAAATATGTCTAAAGGTTTTGACTGGCAGATGGCGCTGCTTCTCAATTCTCTCTGTGAATAGGGAGAAACACATACAAACAAACACGTTGCTATTCAAAGGGATATGGATTTAAGCAGAGATATTTTTATCAAAACTTAGAGCTAAATATAATATTGACCTGTCATTTCATCAAATATTGTTACTTGATTACACCAGTGATAACATCTAGCTATCAACTTGTTTATATGCTAACTTGGGTTTGTCACCTGTCATGTGTTGGCAGCAGTTTTTCTACAAATGTTTTTTATTGCTTTTTTTTACTTCAAGATTTTGAGTCATGAGCTCATCCAGGAATAACTCATCAAAACAGATTTGTCTTAACAAGAAAAGACACGAATGGTCCAGGATGTGAAGGCTGTCAGCTTCATTTAGGACAGTGCCATCTGCTGTCAGTGCTTGTACGGGGACTTGTATGTCAAACAGCCAATCAAGCACACAAACTCACACACTTGGGAAGTCCCACTAACCTTTGGCATTAAGCCGGAGCTTGTTGGACTGCTTATAGGGCTGATGTGCCTGGACGGAGATAAGATGGTTCTATGACTTTGTTGAGGAGGATGCATTGGTCTTAGAAATGTTGGTGGAAGTTGAATGCTCTGGTACAACGTCTCGATCGGACGATGTGGCTGTGGCCGCCCACTGGCCTGAGAGTTTAGCTTGTCCACCTGCCTCTGAAGCTGAGCGAGAGTGTTAAGTGGAACTTCTGATCCAAAGTTTTGGTTTGAACCTAAGGTGGATTCCACCTGGTGCGTCAACTGATGGGGAACATCCAGCAACTGGTCACCTGGTACTTTTTCTATCAATATTGACCCTGAAAAACATATACAAAGATAAAGTCCAATAAGTTTACAGTTAGATAGACATGGTGAATAAAGATGGGGAAGGATTAATATCTGCTCTCGCAAAAATAAAAAAAAACCTTCACACAGTATTTTTCATCTCCTATTTGTAATAAATAAAACAATATGACTGTAGTTCACACTCAACTTTCTTACCAAGATCAACGTTTGAGGCCCTCAAAGAGGATTGACACTGAAAGCGTACAGTGCTCTGTGGTAAAAATGAGTTACTGCATTTTGCCTGCAGAAGTTTTTCAATCTGAAACAGAATCTGCGACAGAATGAATGTTGTTAATTATTTCTGTCAAGGGAGGCCCCATCAGTATTACAGAAGACATATGTTCCCAAAAAGTTGAGCTAAGTTTCACGTCGTAACAACAACACACTGGCAGGACACTGTCCGCAGGATAAATCAGGCAGATCTTACCAGACGTTTACGGTAGAAAAAGGCCATGGCCCCATTTTTGGCTGTGGCCCATTTGGTAAAGTTCAAGATGTGATCCAGGTGTCGGGACAGATAGCCAATATCTTCCTGTTGTTTGCGCAAGACACGCTCATGATCCTTTGTTACGGCCTTGAAAACATGAATAAATAAAATCTGCAGCCTTTAAACAACTTGTTCCAGGCCTCTAGGATGAGACATTCAACTGAGCACGCAGGAAAATTTATAAAACAACACCATAGTGAACTTCAGATTTATTTCACGTCATGATACTCAATTTTATTTTTTTTAATCATACCTCAAGCTGATTAAAAAGCATCTCTCCTTTCTTGTTAATCTCCAGAATCAAACTGCAGATGGACTTTTTTATTTCCTCCTGGACAGACGTGCGGTTCTGAACAACCTGGAGAATTCTGAAAACACAACATTTGCTTTTCTTTGTTGGCAGCTAACCCACGTGGGCTGCATATAGCATTCATGAAGATTTTTAATCTGTGTCAAAGTGTACCTTTTTTCAACGTAGTTGGACACATCGTCGACGAGTTTCTTTTTCTCCTGCAGCTGAAGGGTCAGACTCTCCATGTGTTGTTTGTGGTTTTTGAAAGCATCTTCAAGGAACTGATAACTGATCCAAAAATATATAATATATAATTTCTTTTGAAATGTATTCCAGTTGAATTTGTTTGTGTCTCTACCTGTGGTTCTTGTGTCCTGTCAGTTGACAGTCACGGCAAGTGATCTGGTCGCAGGTCTCGCAAAACAACTTCAGCGGCTCTTGTTTGTGGATGTCACAGAACATGGGCCTCTGAGTGGTCGGTCCACAGCCGTCTGGAAATAGGACATTAGGGTCACGTAGTCATTATAAAGGTCATCAGAAGCATGCTGTTGCCATGGTCGGTGCTATGGCAACAGGTGTACGTTTTGACTAAAACAACACCAAACAAATTGGAATCTGGAATATCATTAAAATGTAGTAATTTGCCAACGACAGGGAACCGTGTCTTACCTTCCAACACTGCTGGTTTCTGTTTGATGTTGTGGTCTTTGGTGAACTTGACTCTCTGGTGAGCCTCCACACATGTGGCACAGAGGTATTCAACACAGTCCACACAGAATCCAGCAGCCTCAGTGTTGTCATCACAGGTCATACAGAGCTACAAAAGGCGATAAATGTCAGGAAAAATCATTAATGAGTAAAAATATCAATATACTGATGTTATCTGACAGCTAACTGTCTGCAAGCGTTGTTGTTGAGTACAGTACGTGGCGTACTCAGGTACAGCAGGGCTGATATCAAATCTAAAATGCAATGACCACAGTTAGCTAGTTTGGAACAGTGTTCACTAACCTGCACCGTCCTCTCCACTGTGCTGCTGGGGGACTCATCTGAGTCCTTCACAAAGATGTTTGCCATCACATCTCCTTCCATACACTCTTGCCTGCACACGGGGCAGCAGATCACATTCACTGCGACCAAACGAAGTAAAATCAAAAATCAAATCCGAACTGTAAAAGATTAATATGAAGAAAGGGAGACGCCAAGACCTGACAAGTCAACGGGTGGATGGATTATTATTGGATGCTCATATTCTTATACTAGTCGACGTACTCCTTTTGCAGGTTGCAGAATATTGTTTTGGAAACACGGATGAAACACTGCATAATTTTTAAGCCACATATTTGTAAACAGTGTGACTCACGTGGTTTGGCAGCCCGGTCGGTAAACAGTGTCTGCGGCAGCTCCGACATGGACAAGTTCCTGGAAGGAGGAGGCAAGCATCGCTTACAAAAAGAATGCAGACACGGCAGGATTCTGGGCTCACGGCAGTAGAACTTGAGATGACAAACGGGGCAAGTCTCCAGGTCATGGTAGCAGCTGGACACCGACACCTCTTTTTTAACAGGGATGCTCTCAGCTTCGTTTTCGACCATGACGAGAGAAGCAGCTGCAGCAGGAGCCTCAGACTCCTGGCTGTGTGCTGCTGCTGCTGCTTCTCCATCCATGTCCTGCACTTATCCTTCCCTGAACACTGACTCCCGTCACGGCACACAGCCAACACAGATATGCATCAAAGCCTCACCCACTGTAAACGCAGAAACCTAAACAGACAACCAGTCCGTTACGTATTTGCCACACAATGATGGATAAGAGTCTAACACCTTCACGCACGCGCTTTTTGCCTCCTACTATGGGCGTGGTCATAACGGTGCGCGAGCTGAGGAGTGACGTCGATGACGGAAAATAAACCCTAATTAGTCTACGCTTCATCTTAACCATTTAAGTTTGTTGGAGTTAAACACATGCACTGTTGGAGTTGTAGACTGAAAATCTTTTTTTTTTACCCGCTGCACAATTTTTACATGAGAAAAATACAAACAAAAATGTTACAAAAACCTGTAATGACATAATGATCTTTCACTTTCAGTATGCTCACAAATACTTGTGGATATTCTCAGTCATCCAGGCCATCATAACAATCTCAAAAGCAGTTTTAAAAGTAGGCAACTGGACTCACCTCAAGTAAATTTAAGACTCACAAACACATGTTGTTATGTTATGTTGCGTACTTTTAAAACTGCTTTTAAGATTGTTATGCTCACAAATGTTAGACATGTAAAGGAAGATATTTTAAAACGTTTCTTCTGTAAAAGCAAGATAATATGTTTCTAGTTCAGCTAAACTGTTAAGCACACCTTCAGCGTGCTAAGCCAAAAGGCACTATCGTAAATGTAGGGGGGTTGAAGTGTAAAGGTCCAAGGTTCAGTGTTATGATCCACTTTATCTGATGAGCAGGTTGGTTAAAGGGTCAGTTTACCTACAATGAATCTGACAGCGGAGAACCACAGTATTCCTCTCAAAGATGGAACCCGCATTCCACTGCTCGGACTGGGCACATATGGAGACCCTCGGACGGTGAGTCTTTTAATCAATGAGTATTTTTTTGTATGTCAGACTCTTTATCTAAACCACAACAGTGGTATTTACATATGCACAAACAAACAAACAAATGCATTTATTGTTTTCTTGTTTTTCTCAAAGACACCCAGAGGCACGGCACTGGAGTGTGTCAAACTGGCCATAGATGTAGGTTACAGGCACTTTGACGGTGCACTGGTTTATTTCAATGAACATGAAGTGGGTCAGGCCATTAGAGAGAAGATTGCTGATGGGACAGTCAGAAGAGAGGACATATTTTACTGTGGAAAGGTAAAACACAATGTATTCTATTCAAACAGTTTTTTTTCTGGTCATTTGGTTATAATTATTTAATGATATTTTCTAAGGACTTTGAACCAGGTGTTTCACGCTCACCCTTCAGTATTTGAAGCCATTTATGTGCTATGTGCTTCACCTCAACACCTCCATTGTCTTTTCCTAGCTCTGGAATACCTTCCACCCACCAGAGATGGTGAGACCGACCTTGGAAAAGACCCTGAAGGCCCTGAAATTAGACTATGTGGATCTGTACATCATTGAGCTTCCGATGGCCTTCAAGGTATCACTGTATATCTCGTTGATTGCACTTATCTTATCACTACAACTAAAAAGTCTAAAAGTCACTATTGTATAAAGCAGGGTTTTTCAAACTGGGGATTGCAGCCCCATTTGGGATCGCCTGGAATTCATATGGGGTCAAATGACATGTCTAGTAACTGGAAAAAAAATTGCAAAGTTAATACAACATGTGAACTGTGAGGCATTACTCATCTTCATTATCATGTTACATTAAATTGTTTTCAACCAGTCTACCTTTTACCATATTCAAATTACATATACGTATGTGTATTTACCTTGCAGCCTGGAAATGACTTTTATCCAAAAGACAAGGATGGAAAATACATCTACCACCACACAGACCTCTGTGCAACATGGGAGGTGAGATGTTGTACTCATTATATTTGTATTTTCTTTAACACCAATAGTATATGACCAGTGGACATGCTAATAGAGCTGAATCATCAACTCCTAATAGGCTCTAGAAGCTTGCAAAGACGCTGGACTTGTCAAATCTCTAGGAGTTTCCAACTTCAACCGCAGACAGTTGGAGCTGCTGCTGAATAAACCTGGCCTCAAACACAAACCTGTTTCCAACCAGGTGAGTACCAGCTCTGCTTACACTCTATGAATCTACTATAGCAGGCTATTAACATTTAGTCACCATTACAACAGAACCTTGACCCATTTAATCATCTACACTTGTTTATTTTTCTATCATATTCCTACAGGTGGAGTGCCATCCATATTTCACACAACCCAAGCTCCTAGAGTACTGTCGGCAGAATGACATAGTGATTGTTGGCTACTGTCCACTTGGCTCCTCTAGAGATGCTTCCTGGTACGCACTGGACAAGAGAAGTTTATATCAGTTTATCATCAAGCCCTTTGAGTGGTCATCTAAAGTGTTAAGTTTAAATAATAAAATCCCATATCAAGATATTTTCTCCTGTCTCTGGTTTAGGGTCAATTTGAAATCCCCTCCCATGCTGGAGGATGAGGTGCTCGTGTCCATTGGGAGAAAGTACAAAAAGAGCAGTGCTCAGGTGGCTCTGCGCTTCAATGTGCAGAGAGGAGTCGTAGTCATCCCTAAAAGCTTCAGTCCCGAGAGGATCAAACATAACTTCCAGGTGGGTTTGTCATTATTTTTAAATTCTTACAGTTTGAACACGTATCTTAACAAAAACCTACATCTGGAAACAGATATTTGATTTTTCACTCACCGAGGAGGAAATGCAAGCCATTGAGGCACTGAACAAAAATATACGTTTCGTAGAACTGCTTATGTGAGTATAAGAGGACAATTATACCAAAAATAACTCTTGTGTGAAACTTAGTTGAGTATTTGTCGTTTTACCTACAGGTGGAGTGACCATCCAGAATACCCCTTTCATGATGAATACTAATGTGCAATTATTAATTAATGTGTTTATTGCAGCCTTTAGGACAGGTTTAGATAGAACACTAGGGGGCTCTCAATTCAATTTTCACAGTAATTAAATAAAAGACAACTTCAAATGATTTCATGTGTAATGTGAACTCCTCATTAGCTCTATATTACTAACATGTAGGGCAGGGGTCACCAACATGTTCCCCGGGGCCCCTGGTACCTCATTTGAATCAGTTACACTTGCAATGAGATTCAAATGGTTGCATTGATGATGGTAAGAAGATCGTCTAAGAGTGTATGTTCCAGAACTTTACTTTACCATACATCATATAGTCAGTATTTGTTTTCAAGTACTCCATACTTCAAGTACACAAGTACTTCAAGTATACAAGTCAGTCTAGTTAGCCTATTAGGCTATTAGTAAAACCTAGCTGTAAAGAATTGAAAATGGTCAAAATGGTTTGTTTGAACTGAAGTGTATTAATAAACCTGACATATATAAAAATTGCTGTTCAAAATTGCATCAGCACTCTCCCTTTTTTTTGGTGGCTTAACACAACTCTGTCATGACAGTGGACTATTGATAATAAATCATGTGAAATTAGAAACTTCTGTGCTGTTGTGACTCAAAAACAAGTATTTAATGTCACTGAAATTGATTTTACAGTATTTACAGTATATTATTGTCTTTTGTTGATTTCTACTAGACCTAATCTGTTTTAAACAAAATACAGGAGTCTAATCTAAGATTTTTTTTACATATTTTATATCATAATCTGATCTGAGTAGACTTGTGCAGTGTGGGGTAAACTAATAATGAATATTTTCTGTCAGTGCAGTCAGAAAACAGCAGGAAACTGTGGAACCAATGAAGAAATTAAAGTCATTACTGAGCTCCCCCAGCCAGGCCTTAAATCAATTACTGCTTTGACTGCAATAACCTGTAGGTAACCTTCTAATGTTGGAGCACTGCATGTCTAGGAAGGGGAAGTCTTTATAGTTGCATGAGAAAAAAGGCTGGAGCGGACTTTTTATTACCTGAATTCCACTTAGAGTTCACAGAAACAGATGCTGTTAAGTGTTCTTCACTTTGTTTAGAACATATTTCAACATTTAATATTTGATTAATAATGTTTGTTTACAATAGGAACATGTTTACAATAGGCTGTTACTCTAGGACACACACAGTATGTCAAATCTCAGGCTGGTGGGCCACATATGGCGATGTGTGGGTACAAATTTGATCCTGCCTGTAAACTTTTACCCCCGTTGTGTAAAGTCAAAGTCAGCAAGAATTTAAACTTTTTAACTGAATCAGAAATCAATATGTGGTCACAGAGAGTAAATAACCTCCATCCAGAAATTCTAGTAAAAGCAGATAAACAGTTCTTTTCAGCACAACTACGTCTCCATAATGGCCCTTGGCATTGTGAACTTGCAACAAATGCCCGCTCTGGGCCACGCTGAACCCCTGTGGTGGAAAACGTCTCTAAATGGACATCTTAGTGTAAGGGAAGAAACAGCCTCAATGAATGAAGAATCTACTCAGGAAGTTCAATAAAAGATGCATTACGAGTAAGAACTTGGGTAAACACCGAATTATTCCTCAATTTCACCTGTCAATATAGACCGTAATTTAAATGCATGTACACATGTGCGAGCTCTGCCACTTCCAAGTACGTACAAAGTTAACCAGGGGGTCCACAATGCTTTTTGGATGCTCTCTACAGAGAAAGGCCCTGTGAGAATGTGTGTGTCAAAAGGTTATGCAATCAGCCCCAATAGACAGACCTCTAGTGTGCTGTGGTGAGCAAGTCAGTAGATGTGTGTGTGGGGCTAACTGAATGGAGATGGGTGGGGGGTGTCTTTAGAGAGGAGCAAAGCGGAGGAGAAAATCTCACTGGTGGTTTTTACTTTCTCAGCTCCCTGTCCTTCCATGTGTACAACCTGACACGAGCAGCAGGCCTGTGTTCTGTGGCCCACCACTCTTCTGGAGATTGTCAAAATTTATAATCATGAAAGGTGAGTGCATTTCAGCTGTGAAATGGATCGATATTCAGTCACAGGAGTTAATGGTAAAAAGATATTTTGTTGCATATTTAGGGTTTAACCATTTACTGTTTATTCTATGGAATTAATGCAAATTTGTTAAAGACAGTTGTAGTTTTCCACACTGTTTGAGTCTTTGTGCGCTACTTAATTTACCCAAATTTTCAAAAGGTTGCAGTATACCAAGATCTGCACTAAAAGAGTGTTGAAAAAATTCTGCATGTAACTTGGTATAGATATTCAGATATTTAAAAAAAAACTATGCATGATAATTAAACTTTATTACATTAATCCTTAAAAAAAACACAACTGGCGATTTTAATTGTTGTTAAGTGCAAACCCACGTCTTGTATTTCCTCACCCACTGTCAGTGATCCATGGGCTCATTATTCCAGTGTCAATAGGTTCAACCCTGGGCTTCATGGATGTCGAACTTTGTTCTGCACAAGATCTTGACTGAATCAGTGAGAATGTGCAGGATTTTTGCTGCAAAAAAAATGCTTAAATCCCTACAAATGTGTGACCAGTGTCCTCGGTTTTCACAATGTGGACTCTGGTGCTCAGTGTGGGTCATTCACCCTGCGTGAATATTTATATACTCTGGATGTCATCTCAAAGTTCAACCTGAAATACACAAAACTTTTCCTACAGATTTCTTTTTAGCTAGAGACAAACTTTGAACTTGTTGTGAACTCAGCTCTGTTTCTCTGATGCACACCGAATCCAGTGTTTGATGTGGTTTCCATGGTTACTAATCCACTGTATCTTCATACAATCCTCTTGTTGGATGCTGCTATGGCTTTTTTCCTCCATCTTTTGTCTGCTGTTAATGTTGAATTGTGGTATATAGTTGGAGCAACTTTATGTAAGACATTTGGCTTCTGCCAGCACATTTACATACTTTGAAAAAAAAAGGCCAATGCTGGCTATGGCCGTAAACCAGAGAATTCCACTTTGCCAGCACAGAGAACAAAGACGTCTTTGCTTTTGTGACGGTTCGGTTTTGTTCTTACCCACTACCTTTTGAGAACAAGGGGCTCTATTTTTATCTTGGGCCACACACTGGCTTCAGTGCCACAGGTTTTGGCTCCTCAAGAGAATTCCAACTTCAACCACATGGACAAAGTTACCCCTTCTGCCCCACCTTTGCCCTCTGCCAGCAGGAGCACTTTTCTTTTAGGTGGCTTCACACGGTGCAACGGGCTAAATGTGACTTCTACTGGTCGTGTTGTTTTCAAAGCAAACAGTCTGCTTTATTGCTCACAGGAGACTGAAGACGTGTCCTGCAGGCAGATGACCAATTTGTGTTTGAGAAATTTTAGTCAAAAGAAGGGGTTAAATCTCCAAGGAACTAGGCAAAGTCCCTAAATATTTTGTCACCTCCTGATTTTTCAAATAATTAATATTTTCAGTTCGACTTCACTTTACTGCTACAGTCTGGGGCAGTTGGAAAAGTGACAAAAGTTCCATTTGAGTGAGTGTAAATGTTTATTGTTAATTATGTGGCCCTAAAACAATCATGTGAAATGTAGCCCACAAATACACTGCGTAGGTTTTGTTGTTTGGAAAAAGTGTCCATGAAGCAACAAAACTCCCCAGGTAAAAGTGCAGTAAAGTGAACTAAAGTCGTTTGGTCATTTGTTTTTTCTCCATTCTATTTCGCAATTGGGTCAAATGCAGTAATTTGTTCCAACTGCACTAAAAAGGACTAATTTAGTTTCGTGTTTTAATGAGTACAATAACAAATTATGTTTGTAACTACTTTGTCTCTAATGTTTTCCTAACGCCCTGTTCTGATCACACAGACGAAGGACCGAATACATCTCAGACAGAATGTTCCAATGGGCACAGCAAACCCCTGGAAGTTGTACCCAGTGACGAGGAGAAGATGGCAGACAGGGGTCAGTGGGGTAACAAGCTGGAGTTTGTCCTGTCAGTAGCTGGAGAAATTATAGGACTAGGAAATGTCTGGCGTTTTCCTTACCTTTGTTACAAAAACGGAGGAGGTGAGTGCTGGCCTGTCTTATCTCTGATCCGATGGTACGTCTTGTTAAGTGTTTACAACTATTCCATGAGTGACCTCAATTTGACACAGAGTTGTAATATCTGTGGAGCTGTACACCTCTGGCCATGATGTGCCAAATTAGTAAAATTACAACAACTTACTCTCTTTGATAAAGGTACATTTTTTCGATTCAATTCGACATTTTCCCCTAATTTGTGTTTCAGGAGCCTTTTTTATCCCCTACCTCATTTTCCTGTTTGCCTGTGGGATTCCTGTTTTCTTCCTGGAGACAGCACTGGGTCAGTACACCAGTGAGGGTGGAATCACCTGCTGGAGGAAAGTCTGCCCTTTGTTTGAAGGTAAAATAAATGGAAAGAAAACCTTTAAAATGATTGATATTGTTGAGCATTAGTCAATTATTATAATACTGATGTTGCTGAAAACATTGCTAAATGTATATCACACCATTGTTATGATTTTTAAGTGTTTTACCACACCTCGCGTCACCTTGTGTGCAAAACGCGATGAATGGGTGCTGTTATGCTGTTGCTCTGTTGCAGGAGTGGGCTATGCCACCCAGGTGATTGTTGCCTTACTCAACGTCTACTACGTTGTCGTGCTAGCGTGGGCCATCTTCTACCTGTCCCAATCCTTTACCTGGGACCTGCCATGGGCTTCCTGCAATAACACCTGGAACACTGGTACTGTACTGGTTATTTTACTGGTTTTATACTTTATGTGTTTTGAGCAGTATTTAAACACTATCTCAAGTATGAATACTTATACCTAAGTATTACAGTAATATGTTGGTACATCTTCCATGTGATATGGGATTTTACTGATTTAAAAAAAATGGAAACATTTATTTTAGTTGTAATTATTTTTTTGTAATTTTACTCAGTCAAAATCTATTTTGTCAATTTGAGTCTTGTTTTCTTGTTTTCACTGCACAATTCCATTTATTTACACTTCTACTCAACCTTCAGTGAGTGAGTGTCACTTTCACCTCCTTCTCAGTGGCCGTGTTGTTTCACTTGCCTGTGTGTAACTTGGAAACCTTAGAGCAAGCTTGAATTTCTTTTCAACGTTGAATGGTTTTTGTTTTCTCTTCATTCAAGAGTCCTGTATGGTATTTCAGAGGGGAAATAGCTCCATCGATCACCATGAGAACGCCACCTCTCCTGTCATCGAGTTCTGGGAGTGAGTTCCTTTCTGTTTGAAATGTCCTCAAATGGCATTACGTACCAGAAACCTCACTGACGTATCTTCAAAGTGAAGAAACTTAACAGCTACTTTGTGTCTAATCCCTGGGCTTCCACTGTGCTACATATACACTTGTTGTGTGTTTGTGACCAGGCGTAGAGTTCTGAGAATTTCTTCAGGTATTGATCAAATAGGCAGTTTGAATTGGGACCTGGTCATATGTCTGGCCGTGGCATGGGTCATCTGCTACTTCTGCATCTGGAAAGGAGTCAAGTCCACTGGCAAGGTAAAAGTTGATACATTAAATAAAGAAAGAAAGTTTAATATGGGCCTTGATCACGGTGTGATAAGCTCAAAGTGTGTGACTTTAAGCTTTAGTGTAGCGCAACTGTGTAGATGACCAAATAACATAAACATAAATGTGTTTCTACGCAGGTGGTTTACTTCACAGCCACCTTTCCATATGCTATGCTAATAATCTTGCTAATCAGAGGGGTCACCCTCCCAGGAGCCTCCAATGGAATCTACTTTTACCTCTACCCTGACCTGGCACGGCTGTCTGACCCACAGGTACTGACAATGGAAAACTTTTTTTCATTTTTTTTTAACTCTTCTACTTAATGGAAAATATTCCAATTCCAATTCAACATTAGTTAAGTGTCATTTAAACAGAGTAACTATTTCCATTTTTCAACAAATTAAGTGTCAACAAAAAAGTGACTTGTTGAGGTGTAAATCCCTTGTCTATTCACTGTTGAATGAATTGGAGAAGAGAGTGAATTCAGAACACATCCTTAGGTATTATATTTATGTATTACTGTCCTTGGTGTTAAAATGCCTCCAAATGTTGACATTGCTTGTTAACATTTATCTTTAGGTGTGGATGGATGCTGGCACTCAAATCTTCTTCTCCTACGCCATCTGCCTGGGCTGCCTCACTGCCCTAGGAAGCTACAACAAATATAACAACAACTGTTACAGGTCTGGATGGGTACTTGATCTAAATGTCCCGTAGCGTAATAATAAAATAGTTGTTTAAAATGAGTTTCTCTTTGTTGTTTCCAGGGACTGTGTCTGCCTGTGTTTCTTAAACAGTGGCACCAGCTTTGTGGCAGGGTTTGCCATCTTCTCCATCCTGGGCTTCATGTCTTATGAGCAGAACATACCCATCTCAGATGTAGCTGAATCTGGTCAGTGGCTCGTGCACCTCTGACATATATAGAAACTAACGAAGCTACTTTTTTTCCTGGAGTTCATCTTTTTGACTCTTCAACATGGACCTGTTATTATGAAATAATTGAAATTAACTCAATTAATTTCAATTATTTCATAATAACAGGTCCAGGTTTGGCCTTCATAGCCTACCCTCGAGCTGTGTCCATGATGCCGTTCTCCCCCCTGTGGGCCTGCTTCTTTTTCATTATGGTTGTTTTCCTGGGCCTGGACAGTCAAGTAAGGCTTTTTATGAACCCTTACACGATCACTGAAAATGTATGTACCACATATTAACCTGCTCATGCTTGTGTATCTTTGTGCTGACCAGTTTGTCTGCGTGGAGAGCCTGGTCACAGCCATGGTGGACATGTATCCTTCCGTCTTTCGTCGTAAAAACCGCAGGGAACTCTTCATCCTGGCAGTGTCTGTAGTCTCCTTCCTCTCAGGGCTGATCATGCTGACAGAGGTTAGTGTCAGAGGTCACATTTTTATGTGATCCTGGGTGTTTTTATGTGTGTTTCATGTTAAAGAATGTTCATGCATAGAACCTGTGATAATAAACAATGAACTGCCATCTGTATTTACTCAGGGAGACATTTTTAATAAATTAAACAGAACCGTATCTTTTATTATTAACATTATCCATTTAGTTTCTGTTTTAGACTGAGTACATGTTTTATTCAGTATTATATGTTGACCCCACAGGGAGGAATGTACGTCTTCCAGCTCTTTGACTATTATGCAGCCAGTGGGATGTGTCTCCTCTTTGTGGCTATTTTTGAAACTGTCTGTATTGCCTGGGTTTACGGGGAGTGACCATACAGGCTATTCTGGGAAGAGGGGAAAGAGTGAATGAGCATAACAAAAACTCTGTTGCTTTTGGCTCTTTTTTTCATCCTTAAATTACCCAACCCCCAAAAAATAATCACATTTGTCTTTTTCTCCATTTTGGAATTTGGCAAAATTAGTCATATTTAAAAAGTTCTTTAGGTTATCTTTCTGTCTGTTTAATGTGTGAATTATATTACGTTTTTTCTTCTTTTATTTTGTCACTCTGAAAACAGGTGCTGACCGTTTCTATGACGACATAGAGGATATGATTGGATATCGTCCCAGCCCTGCCATCAAATACTGCTGGATGTTCTTCACCCCTGCAACATGCTTTGTAGGTTTCACTCGTTGATAATTTATACTTTTTAAAAGAGCGGCCTCTGATGGCCATTGTTGGACATGATAACATTATTAAACGCTGTAATTTTTTTTCAGGGAACCTTTGCCTTTGCCTTGATCAAATATTCACCTCTACAATACAGCAATGATTATGTGTACCCCTGGTGGGGAGATGGAATAGGCTGGATCTTGGCCCTATCCTCCATGCTGTGCATCCCGTCTTGGGTGGCAGTGAAACTTTACTCCACTCCTGGAACACTGAGAGAGGTGAATTTGGCACACTTTTTAAATACCAATAAAATACCTTTTACTGATTTACTTTGGCTAAATGTATTTAACATTTTACTGTACTTAAAGTCATAACCTATCATAATTATACTGGGTAAGGTTAACCAGATTAAAAACTCAGATATTTTTATTTCATATTATAATTGGATATTAAATCATACTCATGACTAAATTAAATAGGTCAGAGTGGAACCTTACATGATAGCCAGCACATCATCCTCACAGGGTCAGACTATGTTATATCATGAAAATAGCAGTGTACTGAAGAGGAGCCCAGTCGTAGCTCATCAGATAAGAAGCATTTTTTAATAACATGACTTAACATATGTCACAGGTTTGTTCAACAAAATTAATATGTCTCTTTGAAACACCCCTTTAATGATCGGCTTAGTAGCATTAAAAATCAATTACCAGATTCTGGCTCCTTAATCTCTTCCCTCTATGACTCACTGTGTTCACAGCGTCTCGTCCTGTTGACCACCCCTTCTTCCGAGTTACCAAAGACAAAGAAGGAGCAAGAGAAACAGCTCGCTGCCTTTGCAGCCAATGGTGAAAATCTCCATCAGACAGTAGTTCCAACCAAGGATGGTTACATTCCTGTTGATGAAAAAGAATCCCATTGTTGAAAGCTGAAAGGATTGAAGTTCAGTTTCCTCAGAACATCTGTCTCACCTCTTCACTGTGCTTTTACAGTACGGCAGTTACAGGAATAAATTGACAGGTAATGTGAGAAAAAGCTGAACAAACCTTACCTGTTACTGCTGATCTCTTGTTGGTTTCAAAATTGTTGTGACTCAGAATATGTTCTCTTGAGGTAAAATGCACATCATGTCATTTTTCCAAAGGCAAAATCATACCTGCATGAATTTGTTTTTTTTTATATCTGTGATATACAGTGCTCAGAGTTTACATATAGCAAGGATGTTACGGATAAATGTACCTCTTGTGTCGACAAACGTGTGAATACCTGCTCTCTATAAACATATTCAATTGTATTATCCAACTTTGACAATACAAAAAAGTACTTTAAATTGTGACTTGAATTGATTCATGATGATTGATTTTTGTATTGTCTTTGTAGGAATTTTATAGCACAACATTTTAAACATTTTTGTTTGTTTTATAGTATAGTAACATGCCTCTTAATATTTTTCAAGACCTTCTACAGTAGTGTCATCTGATGTTGTCCCCTTTTTGCTGTATATGAACCTCAGCCATAAGGCTTCAACAGATAGTTATGATGTTGATAATGTTAGAATTGAGCACCTAAAGGAAATAAACTCCTTAAATTTCGCATCTACCATCTATGTTATGGAAACACTTTTTTTTCATACAACTGAATGTAGAAATTAATAATGTCTTGTATTGATAAAATGTATGTCCTAACTTTTTTGGCCTATTTTGGTGAATATGAATAAATAACTGAAAATGTACATTTAAGCAGAGTCTGGAAGTAAACTCTTCTTCATTGTGTATTTTAATAGGTATTTATGTAAAAAAAAGTGCCAAGCCAACAATGATAGATAATATGAAAACATGAGGATTCAACAAAGTGATATTGGAGAGAAAACACAATACAGATATAATCAAAAACTACTCACATGGAATATCACATTTTTGTTCAATTGTTGCATCCAAAATATAGATACTGTTGCATGTCAGACGGTGCTGCCTTCGCTAGTTTTCGCAGATTCTTCCAGTAGAGGGCACTGTGGTCATTATTCTTCATCACCCGTCTGTGTTTACGGAAGTCGTAGTGACGTGTCACCGTCCACCGAGGCATTGTGGGAAGGGAAGTGGAGCCGCTGACGGCAGCTGATGACAGGCTGTTCATTTTGGTAGAATATCTTCGATTAATGTGTAGCTGCGCAAAAGGTATATTCAGCGGGAGGCGGCTTCGCTGTGAAGCTGATGTGGAGGAGCTGTGAAGGAGGTGAACATATGCCGGTGTCACCGTGGCTTCCCCTCGTTCAGAGCAGAGAAGTGGAGTACTACCGTGTCAATGGACCGCGGCGTTTCTGTATTCTCTTCCAGTGGAGGAAAATAAAGTAGCAACTGATTAATACCCTGCTGTGAATGGGCGGCGGGGCCACTGCGCTCCCGCATTCCGTATCGTGTGAAGTTTCTTGAGGTTTTATTTCCCGTCGCAGGCGCCGTTAAAGATGTCGACCAGCAGTCCCGAGGCGGTGAAGAAATTGCTGGAGAATATGCAGACAGACCTGCGGTCTCTCTCCATGGAGTGCAAGAAGAAATTCCCTCCAGTCAAAGAGGTTAGCCTGATAGTTAGCCTTACTCTGTCGTGCTTGTAGTGTTAAACAGCTGCTCACATTATTAGCTGTTGAAGTCGTATTAACGTGTCATTGGTATACATGTATATGTTCGTTCAGCACTATTCTAGCACTAGGCCTCTCCTCTGGTGTGGGACTTAAACAATGAGTAGATTCAGCTAAAAGTTCTGTCATTGTATGAAATATATTAAAAACTCCATAGTCAATGCTTTTGGGTTAAATTTTAATTATAAGTGTGGAGTGACTTGTGTAATATTTACAATGAAACTGTAATTTTCCCATATTCTGCTGGGCAGTACAGCAGGGTTCAATTACTTAAAACTGTCATGTCAAAAGTTTTTAATTTTTATAAAAGAGTTGCAGATGAACTAAGCGACAGATACAATTGAAAAATAAATCATGTCGTTTTCTGGTAAATGGTTTATGGAAAAAAAGACAAATCATTCATGTTGCTCATGGAGTTATGAAGTGTGGCTTTCAGTGCCACATAGTGAGACCTTTGTTTACATTTTCGGACAGACTCTTTCTTGAAGGCTGTCAAATGGACCAGTCATGGTTCTACAATAATCCACATCAGATAAAATACATGTCTCGGTGAAACAGCAGTGACACAGACCAAACAAATGCAAAGTTGCAAGTTATTACAATAACTTGTTTGGCTTATGTATCAAAACAAAGCATGGACGGATGTTATTCGAGGTTTAAATCTCCTTCCATCTTCCAAAACCTGAATTTTATGAAATCAAACAACCTTTTTTTAAAAAAAAAAAACAGTGTCTGTGTTTAGACGGCCGTGGGAGTGTTAATTTATTCTGACTCTCTCTCCTTACTAACTGTGTATCTGTGCTGATAATCATGCTAGTGACATCATGGGTTAGTGAGTTTTGTGGATACGTATGCAATATAGTTATTGTTGGGATTACACAAAGATGTCAAAAGTCTGCTAATGCTCATAGAATACTACAATTTAATGACCTAAGTTATGTCATCGGGTCATGACCTTGTTAGCTTAATTCCTATAAAACCCTAAATGGAACCAGCTGATTATGTGTTTGCTTATATGTAATAATAGTCACACAGATCCTCAGGTCAGGTGTTGTAAAGTAAATAGGCTGACTGTATAAGAGAAAATAATATCTTGCTGTTTCAGCTGCCCCAGTTCATAGCATTAAAATAAGAACATGTTTGTGTAAGGCCTTTGTTTTCATTTTGGATCAGGTTGATTACGCGTCAAGACTTTAGTGCTTGACGCTTTGAAATTAGATGTATTGCAGTGACATGGAGCCATAACATCTTACCGGTTCTCTTGTATCAGAGAGGTTTCCTGCTGGCCTTTACCTAAGGCCGTCATGAGGCGTCGCCTTCAAATATTGATTTGTCATCAGCCCTGTTTTCTGAGCCTAACACGCTTTTTACCTCTGGAGATCACAGCAGTGCAGAGGGCCACTGTGATGTCATTCACACTCTTAGCTCCCAAGGGATCTGGCTGATATTGTGGTGAATGACCTTTTCCGAAACAAGATGTCATGATGAAATATAGGCTGGTTTGCTGCCACACGAAACAAATTTGGTGACTAGTGGACTATCAAAGACTGCATTTAATTACTGTATATTATTTATAAAACAGAATATTATTCATTTTCTCAAATCATTTTTAATGTGTTTTTTTACCAGATTATGTTAAAAACTGTTTGCAAAAAACAAATGTGACTCATACTTGTGTGAAAAGAGCAGGAAGCACCAATATTGTCAATATAAAACTGATATATTTTCTGGTGAAGGAGAATTTTTTAAAGCGAGTGTCTCTATTTACTACTTCCTATCCCTCTGCTGCAAACCACAATATTTAATATAAATATATATTGTATAGTAACAAAATAGCTCTGCCGGGTGCAGCTGATGCAGTGTATTTTAAAACATCATTTGAGTAATGATGGGTGCCAGCCCAGAAGCAGTGAAGCTTTATTTCCATTTAATACTGCTATAATTATTACTAACCCATAGTATTTTTTTAACTCCAAAATATACAGGCTTTTTTCTGGATTATCTTTGTTTTGTTTTAATCAAATAATTTCATTTTCACTCACTGTTTGAGAAGCAGCCAGTAAAATTATTATTGCTGCATGTTGTACAACATTTTGTGCAAAAACTGCCATTTATTGGCTCCCTCTTTGGATGGGTCTAATCCTGACAGCTGGATGTAGCCCACGGTGAAATATAAGTGATGGGGGGGAAACCTGCAGTTAATGAATGTATTACTAGTGATCTATGTACAGCATACTTTGCTCAACTCTATTACCTAACAGAATTCTGTGCAATGAGCTGTAAGTCATTTTTCCTCCTAATATGTCAAATCGGGTCCAAAAACTGCTGAGTGGAAAAAGTCTCAGTGTTTCTGAGGAAGATGACGTGAGACAAGCTGCACTAATATTAACTTGGAAAGAAGCAATTTGGCATTTAGATGTGATTTTGTTCCAGGTTGGGCATATTGGCAGTGAGGATGAAGAATTTCAGCAAATTCTTCATCCACACCAAGAATATTTTAGTTCTCAGAGGAGCGTAATGTACAACAAACTCTATTGTAACTCATAATAACCCCTCTGTGCAAATCCTTTTTTTGAATATCTAAGGCTAGTCTGGCCTGTTGACAAATACAAAGACGTCTCTTGTCACAAGAATTTCAAGGAGACTCCCAACTCTATTTATAACAGTGATAGGAGGAAGCATTTTGGTAGTCAAGCCTTAGGCACCAAGCCTGCAGAATTTTGCAATTTCCTTTTTTTTAAGTTTTTTTTTTTTTTTTTTTTTTTTTTAGCTGAAACTGAGAAGTTTTCATTCTTAGGTCACAAATAAGCTAGGGAAGTGTACATTTTCATATTTCAGAAGCTTGATTTGGAGAAGTAATTTTTGCTGATATTTCTTTAAATGTCTATTTTGTGCAGTCCACTGCAAAGTCAAAGAAATAATTTCTTTGACTAATATTATAAAGTGAGAAAAGAATCGTTGACCCCCCTCCCCCCGCTGCTTCCCCACTTTCTAATAAATATCTTATTTGTATTCATCCTTCATGGTGGTACTGTAGTACACTCACATCCTACAATATTTGTGATAATGAAAGACTCTCTGTGCTCCCACGATCCCTCTAGTGAACTTTGTCTTTGTTTTAGGAACACGGAGATAAAGCCTAGATTCATTTGGGTTTTTTGTTGTTGTTTTTTTTATCATCTTCTCAGTTTACTGCTTATCCAAGAATTTACAGAGAGGCTTTTTGTAACCAGTCTTTCACAGTTCTACTGTCTGACCCGAGTGTGTACATAGCCATGGTTGCTGGAATTGGTTGTTATGCTGTGGTTTAACAGGTTATTGACGGTTGACTACCACATAGACTTAACTGTGTGGCTATTTAAACAATATACTAATCCTGGCTGATATAATGGCCGATATTCAGTGTTTATTTACAGCAAGCCACTCAGTCTTTCACGAGTGTTACTGTAGTCAGATGACATGCTTCATGGTAACTAAGGCCAGGGCTGTTTGCACGATTAAACAAACTGATGCCAAAAATATAACTGATATTCTAATCACTGAGAGTGAGGTGTTTTATTTCCCTAGAGTAAAATTTTATCCTGAACGAGTTTTTAGTAGAGGTGTAAAAATTACATTTTAAGTAATATTTATTAATTGCGTTTTTGTAATATACTTTGCTATATTTATATGTATGTATTAAATGAATATTTATATTTTATAATGTATAATACATGCTTAATATTTGAAAGTAATGAAGTTTAAGAAACAAAAAAGTAGTAAAAAAAAGTTATTAAAAAATGACGAAGTATCACAGCCTTGCAGCACTGCTTTCAAGTTTGTCCCCACGTTATCTTTTAGACACGTGTCTGTGCATATGTGTCTAAGAAATACTCAGTATTACTGTACTTAACCAATAACAAACTGACTTACATTGTCCTTCTTAGTCCCATCAACTTATTTTTGACATTCAATTTCCCCCCTTCTTTTCAATTCTAGGATATCAAGCCCTGCTTTACGACCCACTGGGGAAATCATATTCTAATATACACGCCCCCTTTCACTATTGAAGCATATTCACCTGTTTCTCCTCTCATCTCATTTTACTTTTTGCAATGCATCTATTACCAGAACTTGTTTCCCTCACATACCAAGCTCATTCTCTCTCAGGTAGAGCAACTTTTGTTACACTTTTCTTTCAGTGCTTCAACCTAAATGTCTCCTCTTTCACCTTCCCTTAGGCTGCAGAGTCTGGCATTGTGAAGATTAAGACCATTGCTGCCCGGAATACAGACGTACTGACGGGTAAGTTACAACCTGCGAAGATGGTGGTGGGTAATTACAGCTGACAAGATCTGTGTCGGAGGATTCACTTGAGTCTTAAAGGTGATAAATTGTCATCAATTCTTTACAGGTGTACAGCACAAAGTATTGGTTTTTTTTTCTGCTAAAAATGGTCTTAATGGGCACATAGTTATATTGATATAAACATGTGAGTACTTTCAAAATCTTGAACATTTTAGTGCAACTAATCACGATTAATTGTTTTGGCTGGTACAACACCTCAAGTTCAAAGCCCCACAAATGCATGCTGGGTATTGAGACACTATTTTAAGCTGCTATAGTGTAGCAATAACGACACTTGTAACGGATGTGTATACAAGCTATTTTAAGTTGATGGACTGTTAATATTGGTTGTAATGCACTTGTCATTCTTCCCATGCGTTAATATTTCTTAATCTGAACGATTTCACAAATTAATTTAGACCATTATTATGTTAATTTTGATATCCATCAAAGTTCAGCAAAACTGTGCTGCTCTTTTTTGATTCTTCTTCGGAGCTTATAGTTAGCACACAAACTCAAGAGATCAGAAGGAAAAGTGTTTTACAATTTGCTCTCCTCTTAAGTACTTTAGGAGGTGGAGGTTTTGTTAAATATAGGTTAGCGTCATGTCCCGCTTGTAAATATCCATGACCACTTTTCACACGACTGTTTCCTCAATACTTGAATAGAATGTCCTCTTGTTAATATCTTTTATTTTCTGCTCTGATGACATCATTAAGTACTTCTATAGTTGCATGAAAATGGCAGTCATTAAAATGTAAACAAATTACAGATGTTGTATATAGATTCAATATCAATTACTGTAACATTACAGAAATTGCAGATACTGTATTTACTTTAATAATGACATGTGGAATTGTATCTTATCTTATTCTTTTCTCTGCAGCTCTGAAGGAGAACAGCTCAGAGGTCGTGCAGCCTTTCCTAATGGGCTGCGGCACCAAAGAGCCAAAGATCACCCAGCTGTGCCTGGCTGCCATCCAAAGACTCATGTCCCATGAGGTGGTGTCTGAGGTGAGGACATGGGGACTTTTTATACGTGTCTTGATAGAGTTGACTTGATGATTATATGAGGTAAATTAAATGCAACTATACTGTATATGCATACTAGGACGACAATATGGTGAAGAATTGATATTGAATGTGGCAGAGTTAAACTATTTTTGGCTACGTTTGATAATCTGTTTAATTGGTGAATCACCTCATTATTTTAACAGTGTATTAGATTGAATTAGATTCAGCAATTGGTTTATTAAAATAGCATCATAGAATTTTATTCCTTATATATATATATATATATATATATATACATTTATTTTTTTCCTATAGTTAATAGTCTTTGGGGAGACGTTTGTTTAGTCATTCAGAAAACGACTATCTTGCTTTACTGAATGTAAAATGAGTCACCTGCGCTGTCAAAGGGAAAAGGATCATCACTATCTTTGAAGACTGTGTGAAGGCTTTTCTCCTCTGGCAAAAACGTCCTTTCCAGTACTTTTGACACATTTCCTTTCCTTTCATCGGTGTCACTTTAGCAAGTGTGCTTTACCTGATCCTTTTTTTCCATTTGTCATGTTTTACAGATTTTGCATTTTAATTGCACTTTCCTGGTGGTTGTTCAGTTTTGAGCCACTGTGGATTCAATACAATTTTTTAAGATGTTTTAATACATGTATTACACACACAATTACAAATCCAGGTGGCCATAACCACAAGGTCAATTCAGCTCAATTCAGAAATCAGTAAAATTCATCAATATCCAATTGAACAAACTAAATTCTGGAATTGGTGTTTGGAATTTGTCAATGTGTTTGCTGCCTTTCATGAAAGAGACTGACCGCCTGTCCCCCAGTGAAAAGCTTTTATACCAGACGTGTAACGTCAAATTCTTTTTTTATGTTGTCTCTATCAAACAAATGTGAAATGTGACTGAATATCACTGTGTGAATGAGCCACTATAAATATCCCTCCCATAAATCAACAATGAGAATCACACTCGGTGTGAGGCAGAATTTTTCCTTGGTCACTTTGGTGTTTTGTTTTTTTTAAACAGTCTAATTGCCTGTGTTTTTGTTGACATAACAGGCAGCGGCCGGGAACATTATAAACATGTTGTGGCAGCTGATGGAATATGGTTTGGAGGAGCTGAAGCTTCTACAGACGGTTCTTGTCCTGCTCACAACCAATACAGTTGTTCACGATGAAGTCCTATCCAAGGTACAACGCATGCATTAATCACACCAACTGTTTTTATACCTCCTGCTTCCTTTATATATCTCCGCAACCCACTTCTGTAGCTCTGTGAGAAATTTTCCGTCTTTAAATATTTTACTACACCCAAATGTTCTAACTAATGGTGTCTTTGCTGCAGATTCTGCAGCCTCTTAACACATACCGTACATTTGGGTTTGAAATTATTTTGCCGCAGCGTCTTGTGTTTCACCTCCTACCAGGCCATAGTCCTGTGTTTTCGACTTCACTTCACAAAGGACAACATCACCAACAACACAGCAGCTGCCACAGTCAGACAGGTGGTGACCGTGGTGTTTGAGAGGATGGTGGCTGAGGACGAACGCTTCAAAGGTCTCATAGTTTTGCTACTTTTTTCCACAAAACTGTTTTTTCATACATCGATAAAAGATGGATATGACGTTATATAAATAAAAATAATACCGTTTAGGAATTAAATGTACACTTGGGTAATGTAAAAAAAAGAAAAACGTTTAATTTCAGAAATGTGAAAGCTATTCTGTCTGATGTAATATTACAAAGATTACTGCATTTTCTACAAAGAAATACAGTTTGTATACTTGTGACTGATCTGTAATTGACCTCATTGGTAACCTTTTTACCTTCAGGTATAGTGGAACAGCCTCCACCTGTCCAGGGGAACACCAACAGGCGCTCAGTCAGTACTTTGAGGCCCAGTGCAAAAGATGCCTATATGCTTTTTCAGGTAAATCCAGCAGGTGGCAGCACTCGCGTATACGCTGATATTTAATGAAACATGCGATTTTGCCACAGTACCTTTAGTAATGCTGCATGAGCTTGAGTTTTGTATAGTGCAGAATGAAAACCAGTAATTCCATTTGGCTAAAAGGGAAAATAGAGGTTTCTTAAATTAAAAAGTTAAATTTAAATCACATGCTGTGAAGCTGTGCCAAAATACTCACACAAATAACACACAATATTACCTTGTTATTACACCTTGTTAATATTTATGTAATAATTTAAATACTTATTTGTTTTCCCTCCCTGCAGGATCTGTGCCAATTAGTCAATGCAGACGCCCCCTACTGGCTGGTGGGAATGACAGAAATGACACGGACTTTTGGCCTAGAGCTGCTAGAATCTGTCCTCAATGATTTCCCTGGGGTATTTCTACAGGTACCTGTCATCAAATGACATCAAGTGTTTTTTTTTTCAGTGACCCATTTTTTTCTCTGCCTTTGTCTATTTATAACTCAATCTGTCCAATCTTTAAAATTCTGCCCTCCTGCCATCTGTGTTCCCTTTTAGCATCAGGAGTTCAGTTTTTTGCTGAAGGAACGGGTTTGTCCGCTTGTTATCAAACTCTTCTCTCCCAACATCAAGTTCAGACAAGGCAGCAGCAGCGCTGCCTCACCAGCACCTGTGGAGAAACCTTACTTTCCTATCTGCATGAGACTGCTTCGTGTGGTGTCGGTCCTCATCAAACACTTCTACAGCTTACTAGTAAGAAACTGAACCACAGAGTGGTCTTCTCACCAGACCAGATATGTGATTGATGTGATGTTGGTTTTTTTCAGCTAATGTACTTATTTTATACTTAGTCATTTAACACTGACTGAATTAATAAAGGCATCTTTCTTCACTGTTTGCCTGTCTAATTGCACTACCCATCAAATGCTACATTGAGTTAGCAAAGACCTCCATTAAATTTTAAAGGGATACACTGATTTAAGCAGAAGTAACAGGTGGGCCCATTTGTTTCTTTCTGTGCAGCTGCCAAGTCTTCTCTCCCAGGCTGATATTTATGTGTTTGTTTTGCAGGTGACTGAATGCGAGATTTTCTTGTCTCTGTTGGTGAAGTTTTTGGATGGGGAGAAACCACAGTGGCTCAGGGCAGTAGCTGTGGAATCAGTCCATAGGCTTTGTGTACAGCCACATTTATTACGGTAAGAAATATACTGAAATAAAAAGCTACAAAAAACTGTGTTATTCAGCTGGGCAAAGTGTAGAAAGGCTGATGGTGTTTTGTAAATATAAGAATTGTATCTAAAATATATGTTTACTGAGGAAAAACAATCATGGCAGCTAATATTCTTGCACAACATTCACACTGTCATTCTCACAGTTTTTAATGAATATACTGTTACCTGTCTATTATCTCCCTACCCACGTTTTGCTGCTCCCTCCCCTGTTCCTGTCTTTCTATTGCCAACTGTCTTATGAGTTAATAGGAGTTATGTATAATGACCTGGATACCTGGCATAAATGCGCACACAAGCTATATCAAACTGTTATGCTTTACATCATTCATCATCACTGTTAAATTCACACTTATAAGTAGGTACATTTGGAGTCATTTAACTGGAAATTTACACTGGTCTCTCTGTTGATGTTGGTTCCATTTTGGAAATGGTGTAATGCTGCTGTTAAGGCATACTCATTATACAAACATGACTGCAGACCTCATGACTGACCATAAGCTTTTTCAAAACGTGGGCCTGACTCAGTTCATCCATCTTATTTACCACAGATACCTGATGAGTCATGTCCTTAAACCCAATGGTGTGTTGAACCTATGGGCTATAATAACCTCATCCAGCCTCAGTTAGATGACATTGATGAACCTGGTGCCACCTAGTGGGTTGAGACACTTTAGCATGTTTATTATTTAGGATACAGTAACTGCAGTCACACGGCTTCAGCATTATTCAATCAAACACATAAATTTCGCTGTGTTTTTATTTCTGTCCAGGTCGTTCTGTCAGTCATATGACATGAAGCAACACTCAACAAAGGTATTCAGAGACATTGTGAATGCTCTGGGCTCCTTCATCCAGTCGCTCTTCATTGTCCCCAATTCAGGCATCACTCCTGCTGTCAGTTTGCCTGCTGGTGAGATGGTTTGTTTCTAGTGCTTCTCATTCTGGCCCATTTTATACTACAGGGCTCCAAACAGTGTATAAAAAAACAGTTATATCTTGTGTTTGATTTTAAATTGTAAAAATAGATAAATTAAGTATCTTTCTGTTGTCACATTTTAAAATAGTGATACATTTTGGAGAAGTAGTAAATTGTGAAGTGATAAAGATTTGCCCTGGTTATAGTTAGTTTCTGCAACTTTGTTGGAGATGTGCTTTTGTAATATTTCTTGCATTATTTTACCATGTCCATTTGACCTATATTAACGTAATAATTGCCTCCCCTCCATTTTGATGTTGAGGTTCTTCAGGCTCGGGTGCTCAGGGCGCAGCACAGGGCGGCCCAGGGACAGGAGGGGTGGGTAGTAATCTGACCACACAGGCTGCATTTGAATACCGCGGTACCTGGATCCCACTAATGACTGTTAGTGTTCAGGGCAGTGCCAAGGCCACCTAGTAAGTCCACTCTACTTTTAAAATAAATCACAATTTGAAGTATCTTTATCCCTTTCTGTTTCTCCACATCTGTTCAGACAATTACCACCTGTGTTGCTAATGGCGGTGCTGTTTGTGTAGCCTCATGGTGTTACTGAGTTCACTGTACACATGGGTTGGTGATAAAAATTTACTTACTTTTGCCAGAGGCGTTCTGTAACAAAGGGACTTTCTGTATGAATTGTCTTCTCTGGCAGAAAAAGAAATCCCTTTTGGTGTAATTAGAGTTTCTCGGCAGTGATTTTCTTGCTGTATTTTTTTTTTTACCCCAGAGCTTATTCTCATATGTATTTAAATTTACTTTTTTGAATGCAATAAGATATACTGTACTTGTCTTTTCAAAATCAAAACAATGTGGAGTGTTACTTTGAGCATGATAAAGTTTTGTTAAAGTGAAAAATACACATATATTCCCAAAAATCATCTAATGATGATTCAGATGACTCAAGCATTCACGTCAGGTATTTTTTCTGTTTTAATCCACTAGTCTTGAGATGCTGGACAAGGTGGAGCCCCCGTCTATTCCAGAGGGCTATGCCATGTCTGTGGCCTTCAGTGCTCTGCTGGACCTGGTCAGGGGCATCACCTCCATGATAGAAAGAGAGCTGTCCAAAGAGGAGGACCTGGCTGCTGAATTCAGGGAGGGTCACCCAGACCAGGAGTGGCAGCCACAGCCTGGTAAGAACTATGAGAATTTAAGAAGTGAGAGGAGAGAGAGAATCATCCCAATGCAGTGAATTTACAGAAAATCATTATAAATAATAACAATGTTGTATGTGTTTTTTTGTTGTCATATTACTTTTCCTGATAATTTGTTAAATTATATTTAAAACAGTTTGGATTTTTTTTCCCCAGGAGCCCACCTGGTGTGGGAAGAGATGGTCAGTGCCTGTTGGTGTGGTCTGCTGGCAGCGCTGTCACTGCTGCTGGATGCCAGGTGAGTCTGACTGCCTTAGAACCAACACCTGCACTCACTCATACATGTTTGTTTGTTCTCCCATCTACTCCTATTTTGTAATGACTTTATTGTTCTTATGTGCACAGTAAAACCAAGTCTTTCTTCTTCCTTCCTTCCTTCCTTGTCCCGTCCCGTGTCCTCAGCACGGATGAGACGGCGACCGAGAACATCCTGAAAGCAGAGCTGACCATGGCCTCCCTGTGTGGTCGTCTAGGGCTGGTGACACCACGAGATGCCTTCATCACCGCCATCTGCAAAGCTTCTTTGCCACCGCACTATGCTCTGACCGTGCTGAGCAGCAACAGCATCAACCTCTCCAGCAAAGGTAAAGTAATTGATAACTCAACACTGAACAAATACAGTGTCAAAGTGGTAGCTCTGTGTAATTGCAAAACATGTTTGTTTGAGCACCTTTCATCTCCTATGTAACTGACATATAGTCTGTTAAGCTTGCACATACTGAGCAAATCAACAAATCTGCTCTCAATTATAAGAGGATAAAAACAGACTAATTAAAGGATGTCGCTCTTATGTGTGTATGGTTTAGGGTGATGTTGGTTTATATATATATATATTTTTTTTTTTTTTTTTTTTTTTTTTGGTTTTACAGCCTACTCCATCCAGGGCCAGTCCGTGCAGATTATCAGTCCCTCCAGTGAATCTCATCAGCAGGTGGTGGCTGTGGGGCAGCCACTCAGTGCACAGCCCCAAGGCACTGTGGTGGTGAGGACATGCATATAGACACAATCATTAAGGAGTTTATATTCAGTGATTAGTGCAGTCTTTTTCCTTGAAGTGGTAATGTTTCAGTTCTTTGCTCTCCGATGTCGTCTTTTGTTATGAAACGTTAATGTTGCTGTTTGTTCCACTGTCAGCTGACTTCAAAAAACATCCAGTGTATGCGAACCCTGTTGAACCTCGCTCACTGCCATGGAGCTGTGCTGGGCACATCCTGGCAACTGGTCCTGGCTACTTTACAGGTACTTTGACACTTAAATGCATACAATATTTTTTAATAATTTTTAATAAAAAATCTACTACTGAACTGTCAAGATAATAAGTAATGACACTGTTGAAAATTAAAAAGTAAAATCCATCATCATGGGAAGATCTGACAGTTGATCCAGTTGATATAGTTGTTTAAAGGTGCAGTGTCCTGAGTTTTTCTCTTTACCTTTATGTTACTCTTGCAGCATTTAGTCTGGATCCTGGGGCTAAAGCCAGCAGTGGGCGGTGCCCTGAAGCCTGGCCGAGCAGTGGAGGGACCCAGTACAGTGAGTGTCCTTTTAAGACAGTTTGCTGAGTTCCACAGGTTGTGGTTAAACGGCCTGCTGACTGTGAATTTTACCTGTACAGGTGCTGACCACTGCAGTGATGACGGACCTGCCTGTGATCGCTAACATCCTGTCCAGACTCTTTGAGAGTTCCCAGTAAGGATCAGAGTTTTGTCTGTTAACAAATGCCTTTAAGTAGCCCAGTAGACTTTCGTACTTTCAAATTATTTTCTCATTTGTCGAGGCCAGTCTGAGTAAATAGTGTAAATTGTGTTTTGTTTGCACAGTCAAGGTAAAAGTTATCAATATTCCCTCTTATATACAGCTTATTTGCTCTTTTATGTAATTAAGTTAATTTAACCACAAAATTACATTAGGAGAGATACCAACACTGTTGTTTTATTCTTCAGGAAAGTTTGAACTGTTGATATTTCACATCAGGTACCTCGATGATGTGTCTCTCCATCATCTGATCAACGCACTGTGCTCACTGTCCCTGGAAGCCATGGATATGGCCAATGGTAACAACAAGGTAAAGGCTGGATTATATTTCTGGGTTACATTTTTCTATTTACAGTACTGTGCAAACTGTATGTACTTACTATTATGTATAATTATGTACCTTTTCTGCAGACTCGCAGACTTAGTTTTCTAAGTTTTGAGGTAAACAAGTGAAGCTCAACAGAATATAACACTTTTTAATTATTGTATGCAATGAATTTAAGCATACACATTTAAATACATTTTATATACATTTTTTACTTGTATGCCCTATCTTTGTGGCCTGGAAACAACTTTTCCTCTCCTTGTTTGTAGGAGCCATCTCTCTTTGCAGTGGCCAAGCTCCTGGAGACCGGCCTGGTCAATATGGATCGAATTGAGATCCTTTGGAGGCCCTTGACTGGTCATCTACTTGAGGTAGCGTTTAATGATATTATTAATTCAACTGACATTGAAAATTATATGGTTAGGGTGAAGTTTAAACAGCTGTGAAGCCATGCTGCAGAGGGTTTCAGCACTGGCTCTTGTTTAAGATCTAAACTTTAGATCCTAAATAATATCCAACACTGAAACTTTTCAGCCTGTTTACGTTCCAAACAGTCAAACTCAGTGTGTTTTTCTATCTAGTCCCTATAATAAACGTGCAATGTATTTTGCATCAATTTATATGCGGTTACTATAATATCTTGCATATGCAACTGTCAGCTGTTGCATATCACAAGACTTTTTCTATACTTTTTCTTCATTTTTTTTATCTCTCTTCTCTATTGCAACCCTGCTGGTTTTGCAGAAGGTAAGTTTAGATAAACACCTTCAATATCATTGTCTTTCCCATGTCTGTCTTTAATTAAAGGAACACTGTGTAAGATGTCTGTGAAAGCACTTTTTTATTTCACCCGTGTTAGCATCTGGGATTTTTAGTACAATAGAATTAGCTTCTTGTATTATTTTCTATTGTTAGTGAGTATGGAGCCCTCCCTATTGGAACAAAAAAGAATTACATTAGTGTATGAGTAGGCAAATTGACATTTTTTAAAATCAAAACCAAAGGCTCTGACCTTATTTTCATACACGCTAAAACAAGAATTTTACTCTAACACTAGATGTCGCTGAATCCTACACAGTGTACTTTAAATTTTGTCACTCTCCTTTACAATCTGGCAAAAGAATATAAACATATATGTTAAACTATGTCTGCAGCGTTTCGTGTTCAAGTTCACGCTACTGTTCTCGATTTGTGATGTGATGCTTTAATTTGTCACAGAGGCTGAATCCAAATCATGAAAGGAAACGCTGCTGTTTTTGTTGCAGGCTTTGTCACATTACTTCAGCAGTGTTAATGTATATGTGCCAGTACGATCTCATCTTTATGCTATTTGCAATATGATTTTTGTGTGATTATTTGATTTATTCGATACACCGGTCACCCGAGTCCTCAATAAGCACAGCCTTAGCTCTGAGCTTGACACTTGTCCTAATGACTGTGATATTAGTTATGGTTCAATAAAGGGTTTATTTTTTCATTATGTAGATAAGTGAACAAACACATACATTGTACATAGATTTGATTTTGTTATAACTACAATCATTTGATGCATTTATTATACTGAGTTTATATTTGCTTATTTATTTCTTGTGTAAAACATGTTTTTAGTAAAAAAACTGTTTTAATGCAAACCTGCCGTCCTGATCAGTCACAACATATGTCTCTTATTGCAAACACTCCCAGCCCTTGTCGCAGTCTTTCTGTTTGTTTATTACACCTTTCTTGTTTACCACCCACCTACTGCTCTACATAATACTATGTTCCTTTGTCCCTGGCGTATGTTTGCATTTGTGTGTGGTATTTGTGATGTGTCCTGTAGGTCTGCCAACATCCAAACTCAAGGATGAGAGAATGGGGAGCTGAAGCGCTAACAGCACTTATTAAAGCCGGCCTGGCCTACAACCACGACCCTCCACTTTCCCAGAATCAGGTGGGTGAGACACTCAACGTATGTGCTGAAGGAAAGGGAGAAGTAAAAGAGAGAGTCAATTATGCATTTAATTGATAATCTGGCATGTATTTTGAGAATGCTGATAGACAAAGCTAAGTAAGTTAAAAAAATATTTTTCAAAGTGGCTCTCTATATTTCTGTTTTGTATTGCATTGTGATTTGACATTATTTCTGTCATTGCTGACAATACTTAAATGAATTGATATATAGAAATGCTTTGCTGATTTTGGAGGCCTGCAGAAGGAGCAGACTATTTTTCTTTTTGATTTACAATGTCATTTCACATTTTCTTAAAGTGTTTTATTATCTCAGACTCTATTGACTCTACTCTAAATTGCCCTGCATTTAAAGAAGATTGCTCTTTCTCACAACAGGGGGCAGTACAAAATGAATGAAACACCCATGTATGAAACTCTAGTAATTTGGCAAATGTCATTTGTCCACCCACAACACTTTCTATTTGATTTCTATCACTTTTTACTATTTTGGCAATAGTATAAGAAATGGATGGGCTTTGCTGATAGTGGAAACCTAGAACTTTAGAAAATGCTGACTGAAGAGATTATAGTCAGTTGTTTCAGGTTTTTTTTCAAGTACATATTTTGTAATTTGCACTTTTTCTGTAGGAGTCTGCAGGATGAATCACAACAGGAGACATTTCAAATAAATAAAATGCTCATTTATTTAGGAGAACATAATTTACTACATTAAGATATATTACTATTACAGTTGTTAATTATATGTAATTGTCATGTCTGGTGCACAGATATGTTTTTGATCATATTTGTATAAAATAAGTTCATTCCATTGATTTTAATGCATCCTCTGCCAGTGTTTCCCAACTTGTTTTTGAGCCAAGATACATTACCAAACCCCTCAGTGCACCACCAGACAAAACTATCACAAAGGTATATGTAATGAAATTGATTAATCTTTTAGTTTGAATTTACTCACAATTTACTTATTCAGTTTGAAAACTGGGCCTGTTTAGTTGATGCAATGCTAATCAGCTCACAGGAATAGAAGAAAGACATACACAAAAATCTTCTTTGACACCTGAGTCTCTTTTTTCGTATAGCTAGCTGCTTTTTATGTATTTGTTCTGTCTGTCACTGTTCCACAAGTAATCAAAGTTCAATTTGTAATTCTGATTTTTCTTTATTATTTTTCTTCCAGCGTCTGCAGCTTCTGTTGCTCAACCCTTTGAAGGAATTGTCCAATGTGCTGCATGCAGACATCCGTCAGAAGCAACTGGAAAGTGTCTTACAGATCCTTCAGAGTCAGGGTGACAGTCTAGGGCCCGGCTGGCCGCTGGTGCTGGGTGTAATAGGTGCCATCCGCAATGACCAAGGGTGAGAACATGAGTGTCAAGGCTTAGAGCTTCACATTCATTACAACTGTTACAACTGTTGGGTTTTTTTGTACAATTGTCTTATTGCACTGGTCTTACCAACATCCTACATTGTGTTATCTTAATTTCCTGCAGCGAGTCGCTGATCAGAACAGCCTTCCAGTGCCTGCAGTTGGTGGTTACAGATTTCTTACCCACCATGCCTTGCACGTGCCTCCAGATTGTTGTGGATGTAGCTGGAAGCTTTGGTTTGCAGAACCAAGAACTAAACATTAGCCTCACATCCATTGGCCTTTTGGTAAGTGAATGGTTTTTTTTTTCTGTTATGGGTTTTCATGGGTTATGGATGGTTTTTTTTTTCTGTTATGGGTTTTTTAAGTTATCATGCATCCTTGTTTAATTTCACCTGCATTTATTTTGCAGATACTGCTAAAACATCTCTTATTGATCCGTGGTTATCATTTTCTTTGAGTGTGTCATTCTGTTAGATATACAGTACTAATACTTTCTCTGCTGCTTTCTACACCTCCACTTTCCCTCTTATCCACAGTGGAACATTTCAGACTACTTCTTCCAAAGAGGGGAATCTATCATACAGGAGTTGGAGAAAGAGGAAGCAGCTCTTCAGAAACAGGCCCAGGAGAAAGGGGAGACTCTGAACAGGCCCTTCCACCCCGCACCTCCTTTCGACTGCCTGTGGCTGTGCCTTTACGCCAAGCTAGGAGAGCTGTGTGTCGACCCACGGCCAGCTGTTAGAAAAAGCGCCGGGCAGACGTTGTTCTCCACCATTGCTGCTCACGGGACCCTGCTGCAGCAGCCAACATGGCACATTGTTGTCTGGAAGGTATGGCGTAGTGAAGTGGATAAATGTACCAAAAAATTGTTATTCTTGCTCTCAACAAAATGATCAAATTTGTGAGATGGCAGCTGATTGAACTGTATTAAACCAGGTGCTGTTCCATCTGTTGAACCGTGTGAGAACGTCGTCCACCACAGCAGACAAGGAGAAGATTGAATCTGGCGGGGGCAACATTCTCATCCACCACTCGCGTGACACAGCGGAGAAACAGTGGGCAGAGACATGGGTGCTGACATTAGCCGGAGTGGCCCGTATCTTCAACACCAGGAGGTATCTTCTACAGCAGCTGGGTGAGCAACTCATCGACATCGGTGAGATTCATTTACAGACATGTTACGAGCTGTACGTGAGCTCAACTGCAGTTCACACCTAATTAAACCTAAAGGCACAGCCATATGGTCTTTTTTTAATTTTGATAATATCAAAATTATTCGATTAAAATCTTACATATCAGACAACAGCTGACATACGTTCTGTCTCTTAGGTGATTTCTTCGAGGCCTGGGAGGTTCAGCTGAACCACATTCAATCTGCTGCTCTAAGCAAAAACAACGAAGTCTCCCTGGCTGCCCTCAAGAGCTTCCAGGAGATCCTTCAGATCGTTACACCTGTGAAAGACTCGGACAAAGTGGGTGACGCACTCGCAGCTATGGGCGTGCCCCCTGTGCTCATCGACCCCCTCTCAGCATCTGGCCCAGGCAGACCCCTGGTACGTTCAGACTCTTTAGTGGAGCGGCTGACGCGTTATAATGGCGCTGAGCTGCAGAATCCTCCACCAGGAGAGGAGTCAGCTTTGGAGGACTCGGCGTTGTGGTGGTCAGCGTGGAACACCTGGTACCGAACAGGGACGGACTGCACGAGGCCCCCAAGTGGGCCAACCGAGAAGTTCTCTTTTATCCCCAGCCAGCCGTTCCTCACGGCGTTGATCCAGATTTTTCCAGCACTCTACCAGCACATCAAGGCCAAATTTAGCATGGATGAACTGAAGAAGCTAGGAGTCATCCTGCATGGGGCCGTGTCAGTGCCCATCAGCAGTGATGCCTCACCTTTCATCCTTCCTTCCTACACTGAGGCAGTTCTCACCAGCCTGCAGGAGGCTGTACTCACAGCTTTAGATGTTCTGCAGAAGGTGAGTCAATAAAGTGTAGAAAGCAAAAGGAAAAGAGATTTTGTTTACAAAAAAAAATTATTTTTAATTCGATTAACCATGTGAGTGTTGTCTGTGTCACAGGTAACAGACATGTTCAGTGTGATAAGTTGTGATCATTTTTTGTTGTTTTATACACCAAATGTTACCACATTTTTCTAAAGCTTTTACATTATTGTCACTCTGTGAACTATAGCTGTAACTCATAGGGAATGTTTTCAAGAAGTAGAGATAAATCTTTTTTCATTTCCCACTGTTTTTTGTCAACTCAGCCCATGATTTACTCTGTCAGTCTGCTAAATTATTCACTGAGCAGCCGTGTGGTGAAAGTCAGCAGTGTTTGTTCCTCCCTGCTGCAGGCCATCTGCGTAGGCCCGGAGAACCTGCAGGTTATGTACCCGGCCATCTTTGAACAGCTGCTACTCTTCGTGGAGTTCTCCTGCAAGCCTCCTCAGTACGGCAGGGTGGAAACCAAACACGTGGCCAATGCCAAATACAACCAGGTGGGGGGGTGACACACACTTGTGCTGTTTTAAAAGGCTGTATTTTCATTTCATGTCTTGTTGTCTAAATTGTTTTTAATGTTGTTTTCAGTCAATCCCAGAATGAATATCAGTGATTTTTGATGTTCATGATTTGCTGACCTTCTTCCTCACTTCTGTCTACCATTTACAAATCCCTTATCTTAGCCTCTGACAAGATTGACAGGGTGTTAAAAACCCCCTTTAGTTGCCCAGGGCCATGTCTTCCTCATATTTCTCTGCTCATGCTTCATCTGACTGGCAATATGCCAAAGATTTATCTTGTGATTCTCACCTCAAAGTTCTGCTTTAATTAATTAATTTAATTTTCAGCTTTTACGATGCTACACTAAAAGAAAAACACAAACCCTCGAGACTGACTTCAAATGTCAATCAGCTGCATCTGTCAGTGTTTGACATGCTCTATGCTAAGCCTTTAGAGTGAAAACATCCTAATTGAAAATTAGAAATTTTCCTGGTCGTAATTATTTACTATTTTTACATTATATTTTATTAATCCTTATATTTTATTATATTTTATGTATTCACAACTACTGTTTGAATTTATTTTAGTTGTAGAAGATCATACAACTTTTTTTATTTCATTTTAATTTTTAAAATAAGTTACTCCTTAGTAGGATCTGCTGGTAATCTAAAATTGTTTCATCTTACATTATTTCATTATATATCTATTTCTGCACAGAAATCCCTAGTTTCATGTACATGAAGAGAAAAATAAGTTGAGTAGCCTAGCTGCTAGGTCATTAATAACCTGTGACCTATTAGAAATAAGGGCACTGATTTCCTAGTTCTTTTCCACCAATCAAATGTGCCCAATGTTTTCAACCTCTTTCCGTTCAACACATTGTCAAATCACCTAGTATGTCCTTGGTGCTGGGAGTGAGTGATTTTTTTTTTTTCCCTTATCGGTTCCTGATTACTGACACGTCCTTGGTGAAAACTGCCACTGCAAATCTGACCACAGTCAAAACCATGAGAATAATTCTAATCTTCTCTCATTCTGTTTTGTTGGGACCACTCACTGGATTGCCATTTTAGATCCAGCTGTTTGCACCGGTGAGTTTCATCATCTCCCTCAGCCCCCACCTCTCTTCGCCCCCTGTGCCCCCCACTTTTTATTTGTACTAAACTGTGTGGGATTTGTGATCTGAGTCCTACTGCAGCAGTGATGGCTCACACACATCGTCTGCATCACTCACTCACTCACTCACTCACTCACTCACTCCATGCTCCCCCTCTCCGTCTGCCTAAGTGGATGTTATGCTTTTATTTACGCTGTGTCCCTGTGCTGTTTGACTTCAGTTCAGTGGGTGGATGATGCTCAAATACATGTAGGCCTGTCACGATAACTACGGCCCTTCACTGACTTATCACAGTACAAAAATGTTGTTTGAAATAACATGATTGCCAAACTGAACGTTTTAGAACTTCCATTAATTTACAGTTTGGACTTTGCTCTGTCACGCTGTAGACTGGAGTCTGCTTTTTGTGACTTTTGTGACTTTTTTTTCTTCAAATTGTTGTTGTTGGTTGTATGAATCATACAATTCTTTTATTTTCGTGACAGGCTTAAATAAGTGTCCATTTGTTTTCTTTTTTAAAAGACACACCTTGTACTGTTATTCTATTGGCAGCAGATCATCATAAAGCAGACTAATGAAATGAATAAACGCCACATTTATGCAAAGTGTGCCTTTCAAGTTTGCTTTCAGTTTAGCTGTGCCTATAAATACAGAGACTTGCTTTCAGATTTGACCCTCTGTCATTTCCTACGTTTCTCATGTTGAATTTTCTTCCTCCCTCAGGCCGAGTGGGTTGCCTTAAACTATGTGCCCTTCGCTGAGCGCTCGCTGGAGGTGCTGGTGGACCTTTACCATAAAACAGCGTGCCACAAAGCCGTCATCAATGAGAAAGTTCTGCAGAACATTATCAAGGTGTGTTTATTCTTAGTTTTAGGACTGGGCAAGTTCATAAAACCTTATCATTTATTCAAATTATTAAGAGAGAGAAGCTTTACAGAAAAAACAACAACACTGCACAAAAAACATGGCCATATTGTTGAAATACTTTCACATATGAAACGTGTAACTGTTAACAGAAACATCAACAAAGCATTGAGCTGCTGCTGCAGAAAATACAAAAGACCAGAGAAAATGTCCATCTGGTTGTTGTGTTCACACTGAAACAGATGCATGACTTTCAAAAGTGACTACAACAGCAATAAGGCTACTGTTCTGTTCTGTTGTCGTTTTTTTTCTACTACACTATTCACTACACTATGGCGAATTATTACCTGCATTAAACTAATCTGTGAAACACCACAGTGATAAACCCAGCTGTCTGAAGAACGGATGTTTGGTTTTCTTGTTCATTTCAACACAGTTCTGGTGTCAGGCTGGAATTCAAACCAGCAATGCTTCTTTTAAAGCCCATCACATTAATCAGTAGGCCACAAGTTACACCAGTACAACAAACTTGAGATCTGATCTCATGACAGACAATAAAAACCCAATGTATTTGGGCTTTGATTTCCTCTTTAAATGCAGTTTGTAGTCATTTTGTATAAATTAATTCCAGCCTTGGGAAACACGGCTGTCAACTGAAAAGTAGGAACAAAGTCTCCTTGAGTTTTTCTCTTTTGAGAACATTGCATTGAGGAGATCTTCAGCCCAATAATGTTTTATTTTTATTTCTGTTTTTTTTTATTTGTTTTTTTTTTGTTCCTTCTTCCTAAAGACCTTGAGAATGCCTCTGGGTCTGAAGTACGCCTGTCCATCAGAGACCACCTGGAAGCTCGCTGTGTCGTCGCTGCTCAAAGTTTTGTCCATTGGACTGCCTGTGGCCCGACAGCACGCCTCGTCGGGGAAATTTGAAACCATGTGGCCAGAGTTGGCCAACACTTTTGAAGATTTTCTTTTCACCAAAAGGTAAGAATTTGAGAATGTTTTCCTTCACTCGCCGCAGTCCATCGATGGACAGTGTTGAACTTACTGGAGTGAGCGTTTGCCTTCACAGCACACCTCCAGATAACCTCTCCATCCAGGAATTTCAGAAGAATGAAGCTATTGACGTAGAGGTAAAAACCTGGGGGTTTTATTTGCATGACTACTCTGTTATTAATTACTGTTTTACACTTTTAAATTCTGTAATCTCTATTTTAGGTAGTCCAACTTATCAGCACAGAGATTTTACCTTTTGCCAATTTCATCCCCAAAGACTTTGTGGGTCAGATCATGACTATGCTCAACAAAGGTTCTATTCACTCACAGTCTCCCTCATTCACAGGTAACATGTCACCTTAAAAGTAGTGTTTTTCACACTGCACCAGTGATGGCAGTGACAAGATGTGAAATGATTCTAATGGATGGTTTTTCTTTTTTTTTTCTCTGACAGAGGCTGAGATCGATGTGCGGATGAGGGAGGAGTTCTCCAAGGTATGTTTTGAGACCCTGTTGCAGTTTTCCTTCAGCAACAAGGTCTCCACCCCACAGGAGGGCTACATATCCCGTATGGCACTTTCAGTACTACTCAAAAGGTCACAGGATGTTCTACGACGCTACGTGGAAGACGAGAGGTTGAGTGGACGCTGCCCCCTGCCCAGGTACGCACACTCGGATATACTCTCTTTGCCAAACAGCAATAAAAAGGTGTTGGCTGTAATGATGAAGGAATTCAGATAATGACCTTGAGAATGTAGAACCATTAGTGTGGCGTGTTAGAGATAAGAGCTATTTCAACATACACTACATTCATTTACTAAACTGCATAAACCAAATTAATTATTTATTTACAACACACACTGAAATAGATTAGCAAATGACAAGTCTGCAATGCAGGTTAATGAGTGTACCTGGAGAAAATATTGGTACCAATTCAAGTATAGGAGGTTTTCTTTGAGTGCTTATATTCTGTCCTCTAAGAGTAAACATTGTTCTTTTTTCCATTTTAGGCAACAAGTGACAGAGATAATCTTTGTCCTTAAAGCCATCAGTACTTTGATGGACTCTCTCAAAAAGACGCAGCCAGAGAACGGTGGGTACGAAAAAGTGTGTCAGGGATTAATGAGAAATGCTAAAACGGAGACTTATCAGTAAAAATAAATAATAGAAAATCCACATCAGATAAATGTGTTACAGTTCAGTTGGGACCATTTGTCACAGAGGTTTTTCTTTTTTTTTTCTTCTTCTTCTTCTTCTTCCCTATTTGTTTCTGGCGAGGTCACCTATAACATTTTATTTTCGTAACTGCAGTAGACTGGAGCGAGACATCATTAAAATCCTTTTTCAAATGTCCTTCAAGTTTGCTTTGCGTTGCCATCTTGTTACAAAGAAACTTATTTGCAGTACTTCTCCCTCCTCTCCTGTAACTTTCCCTCTGTTGTCCTCCTACCCTTTTTTTTTGTTTGTTTTGTTCATTTGTGTTTCTTTACGTGTCTTCCTGCAGTGGACGGCAATACTTGGGCCCAGGTGATCGCCCTGTATCCAACCCTCGTGGAGTGCATCACATGTTCCTCCACGGAAGTGAGCTCGGCTCTGAAGGAGGCCCTGGGCCCCTTTAAAGACTTTATGCAGCCGCCTGTGTCCAGAGTCCAAAATGGAGAGTCCTGACTGGGCTGGTGCTGAGCTCTGTTTTTTTCAATATAATTAAGATGAAGAAGAAGAAGAAGTCTTTGAATGTGTCTTCTTCACCCATGTGCTTCAGAAGTGCACAGACATGAATTTGTCTACGATGACATAAAGATGGGAGGTCTGCTCAGACCCTGTATACAACCATGTCCCTCGTTAGTCCTCATCGTACGCTTCTCATCATCATGCCTTCACCTCTTCCACTTTCATTCAGACTGGCTCCACACACAGTTAAAACAATTAATGAAAAAGAAAATCAGCTGTTGCCCCTGGATGTGTGGTGACCTTGATTAAAAAAAAACACAAAAAAAAACAAACGTGGGGCGGTGTTGGTCTTACATGCAAAAACTGACCCTTTTGTGACATTTTCAACAGTGAGGATTTTATGCAAGTAAATAAATAAATCTGACTGTAACATTCCATGTCACCTCAAGCCAGCCATCTGAGGAGGGATGTATTTGCCTGTATAAAAATAAATGGGACGATTGTACAATTAGTTTTGTCTTTTCTATTATTATGTCTGCCTAGGTCCTGAACACACACACATGAATGAAATGAATTCTACTAGGACTCAAACATTTGTTTGCTGTATATTTACATTTAAATCGGTGAAACCAGAACAAGCAATGTGTCTACCTAATTTTACTCAGTTGATTAATCTAGGCTGATTGATCTACTTTCGGAAAATCTAAAAAAGAAAAAAATGTTTTCTTCAATTCCTGCAAGTGAATCAGCGTTGTGTTCAACTTAACAGGCCAAGGTTTCACACTGAGTCTGTCAGCTGTGATTATACATTTTATTTCATTTACTGATTGTGAAAGGTTATGACACTGGATAATGTTAGTGTTGGCACCTCTTGGTCCAGCTGTCTGTCATATGATGCATTTAGTCATATTCACTTTCCATTGTCTTAAAACATTAGCAAATAAATAGAGGAAAATGCAACACTGGGATGATGTTTTGAGCAGTGTGTGTAAATAAGTGACCAACAACAAGGACCAATGGTGGAATTAATAGTCAGTTTGCATCATATTGCCCATGTGCTAAAATACATTTAAAAATGAATGTGTTTAATTTTACAAATAAATTATTATGTTTAACATCTTTAATAATAATAAAACTCCTATATTTTATATTTCTCATCAAAGAGCTGATGACTATTGGAAATGATCTGGCAGCCTTTGAGTTGGGTTGGGGCACATGGGTTGAGCAACACTGTCCTTCGGTTAATCGTCTGGGGGAAAGGGCTGCATGAGGGGAGAGAATGAGAAAGAAAGAGCAGGAGGGGGAGGTAGTGGAGGAAGAGAAGGAGAAGGAGGAGGAGAAGGAGGAGGAGGTCTGCCTGGGCGGGGTTTCCCTCTTATTTCAAGTCCTCAGAGAAGAGAGCAGTGAGAGACGGGGAGGAAGGAGGAGCAGCAGTGTACCGGAGCCGCAGCGGTGGAACGTGGCGGTGATCGAGGTTACCACGTTCTCCACCTCCGTCTACATGAGTGAGAATGTTTTTTTGGGTTTTTTTTGCACGTCTCTCCGTGTTCTCCCTCTGATGTGGACCAGCCACTGGCTGAGGTAGTAGTTTGTGCTGTTGGTTGGGTTGTGACTCTGCCCGCTATGGAGATGACTGCGCAAGCTACTGCCTTGCTGGTGCTGGTTTCTGCTCTCCAGCCGAAGGAAAAAGATCCGAAGTCCGCTCTCACCAAGGTAATTTAATGTTCCCGTGTGTTTTTCTTTTCTTTTAAATAAACCGTCTTTTGTATCTCTGTTCAAACCAATTACTTTAAAACCGCATTCTGTGGCTTTTGTGTTGTTTAAAAAAAAGCTGAACACTGTAACATGTGACATTCAATAAAGCCATGCCTGAGTGTGGGAGAAAGGGAGACTTTGGTGGTGTGTGCAGTTTTCATTTTAACCAACAATCCAGGTTGATGTGTGTTAACAACGCATGTGCATTTATTTATTGATCTGTTTTCAATCCCCAGGTGAAGGACTCATTTGTATTTATTTTTCTTAATAATGTACGCACATTTCTACCAAGCATGTGCGACTGTCCTGTGTGCATTTGCATAGCTTTCTTGCAGCCCAGGCAGAGTGGGCTGTGTGGAAGGCATGTAGGTCAAGAGTGCTGTTGCTATGAGGAGAGGAGTGACGTGGCTCCTGCTGCCCACAGAGGTATCCTACGATATATCTCTCCTTCACACACACACACACACAGCCTTTATGACTCTCTGCTGAATTCCTTTGTTGATAATTCTGCACATGTTCTCACACACACACATACAGATGGCTAAATGTACCCCCCTCACCCGCCGCCCCCCGCACTACCTCGACCCTCCTTGCAGAGCAGAGCTCAGATAATCAACTTAATCTGGACGTTTCTGTGTGCCCCAGAAACTCCTTTGTTGTGCCACATGGCTTGACCTGTGCATGCTTCCTACTACACAGGAGAGTACTACACAGGAGAGTACTACACTGAGGTCTGTGATTAGGGAGCACAGATTTGGGTAGTACTTGTGTTAACCTTTGCAATCAGCTCCCCTGCTGCTCTTTTATACATACATACAATATAAAACGCAGGATGTAGAAACCCAGCTCCAGACTGATCTGAATGGTCCCCACAACAGAACAGGAAGAGCTGCTGTGGTACTGGAAATGGGTCGATCTGTCAAAACTGAGTCTGCTTAAATATTCAGTATTGGTTTTAATGCCCATATTACCAAAGGTCACTAGGATTAAATGGTACCATTAATGGGATGAAAGGGAAAACCCATGCATTGTTGGGAGTCAACACTGCAAACTTTCCTTTTCGCCATCTCCCGCTGCACTCTTCCTCTATAGACTAAACCAGTAATCCAGACTATGAACTCTTCTGTTTACAGATGTTATAAATTGAACCAGAAGCCCTTGGAAAAACGGAGTTCACCCCACACTGTCCACACAAGTGAACGCCACTCACTCAGCGGCTGAATGAAAATGAAATCCAGGGTTTGACCTTCCGAGGATACTCCCATTAAATATTCATGAGTTCACACTTGATAGCGCGTTAGGCAGAGTTGAGTTCACCCTCGTTCCCACAAGCCTTTGTGTCGACGTTACACAATAAATTCTACTACAGCATCTCATTGTTGAGAAATGTGTAGGTTGAGAGGAGTCTGGTTTAAAAAAAAACTGAATACTAAACTGGAGATGCAGTCTGCATTAAATATATTTAAGTAAACCTCTCGTGTGAAAATCTGACTTCCCCGCCTCCACGGTAAGAGGGAACACCATTTATCATAATGTGACTGTACAGAGAGTGGGCCTATAGAGCAGAGCAGAGCAGAGGCTGCTCATGTCCTCCTCATTCATCTTGTGTCAAAGCTCTCATTTGAGCCGGGCCACAGATAAATCATACTTGTAGCAGCAAAAGTCCCAGAGCAGTAAATCAGAGTCCCCAGTGGAAAAAATACTGTCTGCTCATGTAGGCATCACAGCTGCACTGAGGCAGCCACACACACACTCATCACAACAGGACACACAACTCTGTGTTTGTGTGTTTCTTAAAAAGTAACCACACTGCTATTTCAACAGTTATTAATTAAAATCCTCCCACTATTATTATTATTTGTGATCCTGTTGAGTAGTACACCATGATGGATTACTCAAAGTTGTCCTTAAAGACTTGACAGTGTCCGTGTCTCACCTCTGAAAACTCACCAGTAAGAAACTGTAATCACATCTCAGTAGTTGATTTTGGAATCTTTAAGATTCATCTTCAGTCATCTTTGGTTAGTTTCAGTACGCACCGTGTACACTAGCTCCCCCTGACTCTCATACCTTGAATTACTTTAGATGCAGCTTGAATTACTGCGAGAATACAGTCCCACATGCGTTACACAGAGTACCTCAGTAAAAGTGTGTGTAGCATGTGGGATTTATTGGCCGTAAGTGAAAGAATAAAATAAAGACCTCCACTTTACGACGGACACGTCTGAACAGCTCCTAATCACAGTTTCACAGACCAACAGTTAGTGTGTTAAGGTATGATGAGTGCAGAGCACCTGGTAATCTGTGCAGCTGTGCACTTTTCAGAAATGATATATTTGGACACAAACATTCTTTTTGTTTTTTAAGGCAAAAAAGAACTATTACTACAGATGCTATAACATGAAATAAAATAGTATCGTCCTGTGATTCTTCTCCTGCTCTAACACAAACTTATTATACTGACAGAGTCATAGTACCATCTGTATTGCAGTACTGCCACATGGTTTTGTTTTTTCTACAAATAGAGTAATAAATTCCACCCAACATCAGCGTAGTACACGACCAAACCAAAAAATAAAATAAAATCAGAGAAGAAACGCAAGCAGACGGCGGCTCCTCCGTACACAGGAAGTGGGTCATTAAAATGACAGGGTGCATTAAATTGCATGGTTTTGAGGCTTCAGACAATATCTGCAGTTTCTACCTTGAAAATAACAACTTTGGTGTGATGTTTTCCCCAGAATTTTGTGATCAATTTGCTCTGATTCTGGGACATGTGACTTCAGGAAACCATGGAGAGTAATGTAAAATAATAAATTGAATGGTCAACACTGTTGTGGTTGTTTCGTCAGAGTTTTGACACCCATGTTATTTAGAAAGCTAATTTCAGCTAACAGTGAGTGCTAACACGCTAATAAACACTATTTTCATCTGGTGTGATATTAGCCTTGAAGGCGGTGCCCTTGGCTATCCCATGATGCAGTGCAGATAGAAAAAGTGCCATGGTTCCAGTGAAAAGAGATGAATGTCTCACTGTTAGCCCACTCAGCATCTCCCACAGATCTCTCCACAGGTCGGGTGGGAGTGCTGTGACCTTGGAAAAACAAGCCACCCACAGGATTGACTGTCTTCTGGAGCACACGCGCTCTCACTCTCTCTCTCCCTCTCTCACGTTCTCTCTCTTTCACACACATGCACACACACACACACACAGGCATGTGGGTAGATAAGTGGAGTGCCAGCTCACTGTGTACCTGAATGGAGGAAGATGCAGCGCTGACCTATAGGGACCAGATGGCCCTGCAGAGGAGCTCAGGGTGGGAGGCTGTAACAGTAACACACTTCTGTTGGTTACATGGGTCAGTTGTTCATGTTTATAACCCAATAACATAGATATTACCAATAGGAAAATACAGTATATCCTTTGTTGTTCCCAGTGCTTTAGAGGGCAGCTGTTCCAGGCAGATCTTTTATGAAGAAGGGAAAAAAACAAATATGGCCAAACACCTGTTCTACTGCATTAATGCAGATAGTAACAATTGTTCAATGCAGACATTTGTGTTTACAAGTCAAAACCTAGAACAAAACAGATATTGTTTGAATATTCTCATTATTGTGGGCGCAAATTACTACAAGTCCTTGTTGTATACTGTACAAAAGTGTATAAAAAAGTACTAAAAATCCAGCAAAAAAAAAAAAAAGCTCGGGGAAAAACTCGGTGCTCTCCTACCAAACTGTCAGTAAAACCAAATATGCAAAATGTTATCATTACTTTCTTGGAAAATAAAATGAAACAATTATGTACTTCCAGTCCTGGACTCTGAACCTGAGAACTTTGATTCCAGGTGTTAACTGATGGTGTACGTTATCCCAGATCCCTATTTTGGTTTCCTTCCATTCTCCAGAAACATGAAGCTGGGACAGGACTTGGTTAATTGTTCATTCAAAATGGACCCTAAGTGTGAATGTGAGTGTGGATGAGGGCTTGTCTCTTTCTCTGCTGAACTGTCCAGGATGAAGAGGTAGAGGATGACTGTAGAGACTGAACTGGATTCTCCAGTGGTTAGCCTAGAAGCTACTCATACCCACAGGTGCTGCAGCGGAGAGCTGTGAACGGTGTCACCAGGTCACGGGGTTCAACCTTCCTCGTTCTTCACCCGATACCTCTGTCTTGTTGTGAGCTGTTCTACTCAATCCTTGGTGTGATTTATGGCTTTGTTCTCAGGTATTTCAAGTATGTGGTGTCACGTCTCCTCAGTGGGGGTGAGAGGACAAAGGTTCCACCTCAGAAGTATGCAGTTATTAGTCACCCGTTCCTCACCCGTGTTCACTGGCTGTGAGGAGTGAAGGAGCAGCTGATGATGAAGGGCTGCACTCGTCATCACTCTCAGGTTTGTGTGTGTGTGTGTGTGTGCATTGGTGTTCTGTTACTGCCCTCACGGCAGCATCTAACACAGAGTTTACTGTCAGGCCATTCCATCAACTGATACCCTTCATCATTCATCAACATAAGGCTCGCAGCTTCTCTCAGTCCACTGTCCTGAGACTGAGTCAGACAACGTTTCTACGAGATTTAACCACACCACCCCAGGGTCGTTCTTCCACATTTGCTCTCAGTATGTGTGTGTGAGAGTGTGTGAGATTGGCTGCAGGTGTGTAATGAGTGAGTGAGGGTGTTTCAGTTGGATCCTGTCAGCTAATTGGTCCAATGCTGATGGTTCCAGCATAAAAGCCAGATTCCAGCAGCTGCTGTGGTGACCTGTTTGAAGGTTATGACAGGGTTTTGGGGTTGGGTTTTTTTGTGTGTGTGTGTGTGTGTGTTTGAAAATGTTTTTAAATCTTGTTTATTTGTTTGCTACTGGTTAGAGGAAGATTGGTGTGAAAATCAATTTTTTGTAACTTTGTGTAATAATACAACTTTGTTTCCTGGAAGTTGTTGTGAAGAAAAACAACAAAAACCTAGTTCTACAATCTTTATAAAAAAACAGGATAATCTTCAGGTGTGTGTTTGTCTTGGGATTCCAAAGAAATCGAACTCTTTGAATCTGTCAGTTTCCAGAAGATAAAGCTCAGTTTGGACCGTCTTTGAGTCACAGGTTTCATCTGAGTGAACAGACGAAAAACAAAGGTTTCACTCTGGAAACAGGTTGAAGATATGGAGACATGCTACATAAAAATAACAACAAACAACAACTAAGGATTAAAGGGTAGAGAATGTGGGAAAGAAAAATATTCTTTTTTTTTTTACATTTAAATTTAGTCTCACTGTGACCGTGTACTATGTTTTAGTAACTAGCAGAGATAAGTCTTTCCTGCAGAATCATTACAGTAACAAATGTCAGGGACATGAGTGAAACTGCTCCTGGTAACTCTGGAGTAAACGTCTCATTTGTATTCTCTCAGCTGAGGGGTTGAAATCAGAACAGTTCTGTTATTGGTGAGTGGTGTGTCTTCATTTTGACAGTAGGAACAAATACTAAGAACTACTGCGACGAGCGTTGGACAGTGAGAGATACACTCCGTAGGGCTGAGTGCTTTTCCCAGTTTGTCTTTGTTTAACTTGCAGGCAAAGAAAATGTGGGATTGTAGTTTAAATAATGACACAGCCAGCAGCTGAGGATGTAGCGAAGTGCTAACAGCCAGTGGAGGATAAGGATGACAGCAGAGGATTAACATGAGGCTGCAACAGGAGAAGAAATCAAATGTAAAAGAAATCTGTGTATACACAGGTAACTACAACGGTACAGACAGGAAAAACAGGACTGGTCTCATTTGTCTTCTCTTTATTAAAAAGTTTCTTCATGTTATTCACTATTTCTTTTGGATTTTAAGAGGAAAAAAACAGCAGCCCTGGAGGAAGGCATTTCTTTTCCCAGCGCTGATACAATGGCTTGGCTACAGTAAAAGTCTACAGGAGAGATCGTCCATATGTACATGACATCAGCTTCCTGGTTACTTGTTTTTTTTAATACACTGTACAGATATTTAACCACACACACGTTCATCAAATGCGTTTGGCCTGAGACTATATACATTTTCACATTTATAAATATTGTGCAATTATCAGTAACAACGACTCTGAGATGATTTTTTTCTTTTTTTTAAATCATCTTATCAGTTACATTTGCATCACTCCACAACAATGTTCACCATGGCTTTGTCAGTGAAATACCCTGAAGAGGCGAAATTTCAGCAGTTAAAAAACAAAAAAAACCTGTCCCCAGATGACCCTAAAAAAATCCTACATCTGACATGGAGAGATGTCTCGTGTCCTTCAACAAGGGTTAAATCCAGACACAACAGGTGGGTTTAATTCTGCTTGTTTCCAAACATCAGGGGAATGATGTAGACGGAGATGTCGTCTCCGGAGCCCAATCTGTCGTTGGATATTCTCCAGCCGCGGTCCTTCAGCACCCCACGTGCTCTCATGATCAGGTCCTGAGCTGCCATTGTGTATCTGTGTATAAGGACGGTGGGCCGCAAGCAAACGATTCACAGTTACAATCTTATCAATCGTGATTAATCACGATTAATTGAGATTATTCATGGAAAAGTGAGAAGATGTTTAAATAAATAACCAAACGTGCCTGTGCTGATCGTCGGGGTCACAGTTCGACAGGAATGAAGTGACAGTTTCTGCTACTTCCTGGTTGGAGAGAACGTCCCACAGACCATCGGTTCCGAGAACCAGGACGTCGTCGGCTCCATGTTCAAACTGGGTCAGTGGGTAAACTCTGACCTTAAGGTGAGACAGGGTCAGGGAGAGAAGACACAAGGTTTGTAGGATTGACTAGGACATGGTTTCCCAAAGACTGGGTCACGACCCTCAGGTGGGACACAAGAGATTTTTCTTTTGGGTCGTCTCGCATCATGATTCCCAGGAGTTTATGAACAATGACTATTGACTTGGGTCGCGCAGGTTTGTGACTTTTAAAATATGGGTCCCCAGAAAAAATGTTTGGGAAACACTGGACTAGGAAGTTTGAAGGTTCCCCGATCGCTCCCGAAGTGGATAACGATATGGTATTGTGAAACAAAATATGGATCAATATTTCCCTATACCCCTAACAGAACAACAGCCGTGACACAGCAAACAAACCACAGTCAACTGCAGTAAAAGCTCGACTGAGGCTGAAGTTGTGACAAAGCCATTTGAAAGTCACTTCATGGATTAAACACGTCCACTTAGTGGGAAAGTGTGATTAAAGTCAAGATTTGTGACACAAAAAATAAGCGAGGCCATAAATGTCAGAGAGAAACAGCGTGCTTTTCCCAGAAACTATTTCAAAACTGTTTTCTTCAGCAACAAAATATCCCTGCAAGACAAGCGAGGTCAGGGCTGCATCATTTGAATTTTGACCCCACGCCCACATGTGATCTCATGAGGAAAAGCTGATGGATCCAGATGTGAAGGTCAAATTTTTATTTCTTCATTATTACCCAAGAACACTCATTTCCAATATGAGATCTTGCAGAAAAGATTTATTTCTCCAACCTCTTCAGACTGTTTTCACTGGAAGGCTGTGCCTATAAGGTGATATTGCACTTCAAAATGTTTATAGATTTTACCACAACGAAAAATATAGTTTAAATAAATCTAAGCAGAAATATATAATTCAAATATAATGCATTCAAATATTTTTCTTTCAACTAATACCATTTTGAGTTTTTTTTGTTTTTTTTTTGGTGTTACGGAGTTTACAGTACCTCTGGGCAGCAGGACAGGAATGGCTTGATGTAGATGTTGGAGTCGTGCACTTTGAGGTTATGGTCTCCAAGTCCTCTGGTTACCCCGATGGTTGCCAGCACCCGGGCCTGAAATTACAAGATAAATAGAAAACCACGCATAATAAACAGTTTACATTGGAGATAAAATGTATTTTTTGAGAAGAACATTAAGTGACTAATTCAGGAAACATAATTGATTCTCATCTATCAAACGACACAGTTTTCTTAGACTCTGGAGAGAGTTTATTAACGTAGTTTCAGCTTAGTCATTAGATAAAGAAACGTTACAGAGCCGGAACCACCCAGAACGTGGTGCGTAGGATGAAGAAATGAAAATGGAGTCATCAACTTTAACCTCACCCTGGGATCGTTCGCAGCCGAGTGAGAAGCAGCTGAGATAAGATTCAGCAGCTCTTAGTCACCAAAAGACTCTCAGTGTCGAGAGGGGACAAGGTCCACTGACATCTGTTCACCTCAGAGGAAGAGTCTGAGAATCCCAGTGTTGTGTTTAGGTGTCAGCTGAGAGTGGACAGACTGACTGGTACAACCCACTGCTCCTTCACAGAGTGAGGAGCCGAGGCCGCTGGGAGCAGCTCAAAGTAAACTCGCTGATCGTCCACGCAGAGAGCAGCTGGTTGACCTGACAAAAGCATCGGGTTAGGCTGCGTTCTCTGTGGGTTGTTTGACTGCACAACGAGGCAAATATACGCCGCGTTCTCCTGGTAAATAATTCTCATAAGAAATCATTAAACCACAGCTTCCTGGCAGATCCAGTTTTTGGATCTGCCAAAAAGTTGCAGTTTAATGATAACCTTGATAACAAGAAAAAAAATACAAACACTGAAATGTTTGATTGGGTAACTGCTCCATGAATCTTTAACACAGGAAATAAATAAAAAAAAAGCCTGACGTCGTCTCAGGCCGTGGTATAAGCCTTAGAGTTTGAATCAGTAGGTCGCACAAAAAGAAGAAAGAAAATGATGTCAGACGAGTCACAGTGTTGAAAGCGGCAGCAAATCTCCTCCAGCGAAGAAAGAGAAATATCCTGGGATTAATTGCTGAGCACTGGAGCCATGCAGGCTGCACGTGGGTCTTTGAAGTACACTGGCATTTCTCTCTCTTCCACAACCCCCTCCTCGTCCTGGCTTTATCTAGCCATCCAACCCCGGGATTCACTTCAAGGACTTGGTGTGGGCACTGCCAACCATGTTGACTTAACCACAACTGTGGTTTCCAGGCAGAGGCAGCGCTGTGGGGTAGCATCTGTCACTGGGTAATATTAATCAAATGTGTGTCTGGAGTTGAAAAGTGAAGAAGGCCACACACAAAGAACATTCTTTCAGAGTTTCCTCTTCGACCTTTTCGGCGACCAGACATCGCATGTGAGAAAGGGAAATGTCATGGACAGTGAGCTGCACCGTCGACCTTTTCATTTCTACTTTATGTCAATGCAGTGACAAGATTCTCCAGTGAACCAGTGCTTTGGCAACACTAAAAAAAACAAAACAATTAACATGTGTTTCTATGGAGACTCTTTGCCACTAATTATGGGTGGACTCTGATGACAGTAGGATTATTGACTCTTTTATTGTTCTCTGCTAATGAGGAACAGTGTTTTACTTTCACTTCGTCCCTCATCATTATTTTATTTATAGCCACACATTGACCTTACCTTGGGTTTAACTCATGTAGCGCTGACGAGTAATGTAATTAGCCGCATGTGAGAGAATTGTTACCTTGAACACAAACGTTTTTATTAGATTAGATTAAACTTTATTGTCAATGAAAAAATCAACACAGACAAAGAAACGGCCAATAATGTGATATCAATGTTCTCTTCTCTGCACTAGAGACAACGTCGTCTTTACATAGAGTTGAAACGACTTCATCTGAAGTCTTTTCAACAGGATAATTATTCCATTAGAACTGCCCTGGAGTGAAGGTTAGTTCCATTGACTACGCTGCTGCTGATCTTAGGTTTCTCTGTTGCGTCACGCAAACACTTAATGTGACGCACGTGACGCCAGGACTGCCACTATGTGAGGTGAGGTTCAGATATCTAAAGTCTGGGAAATGAAGAAGGAAAAAAAGTTTTTGGTTTTATATATATATATATATATACCAGTGTTTCCCAACCATGTTTGAGCCATGGCACATATACTGTATATCATCAGGGAACCACCAAACAACAATATCACAAGTATATGTAATGAAGTTTAAATGACCTCATATTTAACTAAAATATCGGCCTGTTTAGTTAAAAACAATGCCGATATACTGGCAGGAATTAAAGAAAGACACTCACAAAGATCTTCTTCAATAGCGCTGATCTTTTTTTTAGTTTTCACAGCCATCTGCTGCCACCTAGCTGAAGAGTACTTACTTGTTCTGCCTTTGGCCAAATTAAGTGAAATTGGATAATTTTCCACGGCACACCTAATGATCTCTCACGGCACATTAGTGTGCCACGGCACAGTGGTTGGGAATCACTGGTATGTAAAGTACTTTAATCTTATTGTTGTTGCCTTTTCTGTGTATCCATGGATAATTTACGGAGAATTCAGTGGGAGAAGAGAAGACAGTTGAACCTCGGAGGATACAAAGACGTGACGAGCCGCTCTATGTACAGCTAATGGAAGATTTAATTTCCGGCGAGGAGCAGAGAGCTTTGGGTCCGTGAACAGCTGTCAAATCTTTCTTACCTTCTTTCCTTCGCCGTATATCAGTGGGAACTTCAGGTCATCGTCCTCTATGGTTTTATACGCCCTGCACAGAGAAGAGAGGACACTTTAATGGGTTTT